AATGGACCTGTTATACATCATTGAGGAAGAGAAAGAATATTTGCTATTCACTCAGTCATAAATAAAAGGATTTGTTTCCGTAATGTGTCAGTGCAGGGGAGATCATTCCAAAACATGAGTCTTAATGTGGGTGAACCCTTGCTAACAAGCCAACATATATTCTTTTATTGACTCACTCAAACATTCATTCGTGTAATTTTTTTTTTTCAACCTTTCTAAACATTGGCAGTACATCTGAGAACTCTATGTTGAGAAATAAATATCACTTAATTATTTTCCTCTACATCTGATTGTTTGTTTTAATTTTTTTTTCTATTTAATTGAATTGATGAGTCAAGAGTTGACATCACTGCCCTCAGGACATTCTCACACAGGCTTCATCTCCTTATTTCTTAACCAACAAAGAACTTCCGTGCCACAGACTCTAGTGGCAACCTGATTACAAGTTCATCTTTCTTTCCCTTACCAAATGAATACTGACTAGATCTTTTGCTCACTTACGCAGAATTAGCCTGGCTAAGTATGGATGCTTTTTTTAATTTAAATGTAAACCAAGAGATGATGGAGGGTACAGTTTCCAGAGGAAAAAGAAAAGGTGGAGGCCGATCTCTGCAAATGTGGATACAAGAAACTGAAGATACATTGGCTTTGAAAGCACATAGGGCAGGAAAACTGGCTAGAGAAAGACCGATCTTCATGCATGCTGTGGCAAGAGTGACATTCTATAAAGAATCTGCTGATGATGATGATGATGGTGGAAAGTGAGGGAAATCCCAAGAGAATTAAAAATAATGATGAACATGGAAAAACAGCAAGTAAACACATAAAGAGTGGGCCGAGGATGCATGGGTAAACTGAGAACAAGATGGAAAGATACCATTAGAGAAACTCTACAACAGTTCAATATGTTCACTGTAGAGGTGCCCAGACCCTGACACATCAATACTTCAACACAAGTTCAAGGGACTACAAGTCTAAACAAATTCATGCCGACCAGGGATTTCTTCTTTGTGTTTACGGGCTGGCTGTAAACACTGGCAGAAAGTTTTGGTTGTTCATCCACTTCTAGAGTGTAATCTTGTTCCTGAACATGAGTGTTGCGTCACAGTGTGTACATTCATTTACAGATCTGAGTTATTTGTATGCTGACTGTTGGATCCTTGCCTGTCAGACAGATGCACTCCGACTTTGAAAATAGCCACCTGTTAGTACAACATGCTTGTTGGGGAGGCAGTGGGGCTATTCTTGTTTTTTTCACACTGGGGCCCCAAAACCAACACTGGGGCCCAAGAACCCTCACTGGGGCCCAAGAACCCACACTGGGGCCCCAGAACCCACACGGGATCACCAATTATAAGTTCCTGCTGAGACCGTTTTACAGATATGGCTTATTTGTATGCAGACCGTTGGTTACTCACCTCTCAGGCGGATGCACTCTGAATATCAAGAGGAAACCCGTGGTTGGCAGCTTATAAGTGCTCATTTCCCTGCCTAGGTACCGGGGTCGACTAATTGGGGACTTCCTTCGAAGTCGAAGATCCTGCCTGAAAGGCAAAAAACCAACAGCCTGCAAACAAATAAGCTAGATCCATAAAATTGACATGAACGCAACACTCAGGTTTTGGAACAAGACTTAAGTCCAAAAATATAGAATGTAATATTTCTAGTAAACATACAAAAATACAGCACCTCTAGTTATTGTAAAAATATCCAATTTGATATCTCTAATTACTGTAAAAATATGTGACATCTACAGTTAAGGTAAAAGCATATGGTGTGACTAGTTTCAGTTAAAAAAAACATATTATATGACAGCTACTATAAAAAATATACAGTGTAATATCTCTTGTTATTGTAAAAAACACATAATGTGATATCTCTTGTTACTGTAAAAAAAAAAAAACATAATGTGATATCTCTTGTTACTGTAAAAGGCATAAAGTGGCATCTATGGGCCATCATCAAGTACCTTGCCAGGTGGTGTAGGGGTTCATGCGTCACCACAGATCTCGGTCTTTGGTGTTCTGGATATATTCCACTGATGATATTCCTCCATGCCACTGTCTTAAGCCATCCACCATCCACCATCATTTCTCTTGGTCTGCCTCTTCCTCTTCTACCAGTGATCTTTCCAGTTGTCACAATGTTTTCCAGTGCTCCTTTTCTCATCACATGACCAAAGAACTTTGTCTCTTTTTCATTATTGCAAATGTCTGGGTACTCAGTCTATGGATACTCAAAAAATATGTGACAGAATTACTGTAAAAATATACATTCTCTAGTTTGATATGTAAAAAAAAATGCTCGGTTACTGTAAAATTATATATTTTTAACATTTTAATTTACCTCCTCCGACCCAGTGCAAAAACACTGTTTGCACAGGAGCTTAACCTCAATCTTATCGTTCTCCTTCACATTCACCGGTTGTTGTTCGGTCACTTCTGGACTTTGGTCTTGTTCTAGAACTTGAGTTTTGCATGCTCATCTGTTTTACAGATCTGGCTTACTTGTATGCAGAGCATTGATTACTTACCTCTCAGGCTAATTCACTCCCACTTTGAATGGAAAACCCCCTTATTAGCAGCCTATAAGTGCTCATTTTCCTGTGTGGGTTCTGGGGTAGACTAACTGTGGGGCGTCCTTCATAATCAAAGTGTCTGCCTGAAAGGCAAGGAACCAACAGCCTGCATACAAATAAGCTAGGTTCATAAAACGGAAGTGGGCACAAAACTAAAGTTCTGCAACAAGACTAAAGTCCAGAAGTGAACAAACAACAGCCCGTGAACGTGAAGAAAAAATATAAGATTGAAGTTACGCTCCCGTGCAAACTCTTCATACAGTTTGTCCTCAAAGGAACTGGGGTAGACCAGAACAAAAGTGAATGTTCTGCATATGCCAATCTGTTTTATATACGAGATGTTTCCCATGTGTGTATGTTTTCGAAAACAGATTCTTACGACCCATCAAAGATGCAAACAGCGGTGAATGGAGAGTGAGAAGCAACAACGTAACACATAATCTGTTTAAATCCCCACTGATCACTGGCATCATGAGAGCTAAAAGACTGAAATGGTTGGGGCATATTGAAAGAATGTCAGATGACAGAGAAGTAAAAACTGTATACACCAGGGAGATGAATCATTGTAGACCACGAGGCAGACCAAGAAGACCATGGAGAAATAATATCCAGAGAGACCTGCAAACACTTGGTGTCACCAACTGGAGAGAGAAGGCTAACCAGAGAGATGAATGGAGGCAGGTGATATCTGCTGCAATGAACCTCAAGGGCTCGGAACGCTAAAGAAGAAGAAGTATGTAACAACGTGTACACAGACTAGACGCATTCTTCAATGTTTTTAAAACTGGACTGGCAAAATAAGAAATTGTTTTGTGGACTAACTCCTTTTGCCTTTTTACACCCACAGACTGGCAAAACTGTATCAAACAGCACCTGACAGCTCTCTCTCTCTCTCTCTCTCTCTCTCTCACACACACACACAGACAAGTGTAGATTGTGGGATATTTATTTAAACTTCTTCTTCTTTCACTCACTTGAAACAGATTATCTAAATCTGCAGTGTTGTAGTATGAACTTCACTGTTTTTTGTAAATCACTCAGCGACCCGTAAAGTTTGGCTTGAACCAGTGTTTCTCCTGGCCAAAAGTTTTGCCTTGATATGTTGTATTTGGGACAGTCTTGGAGGATGTGATCCGTTATCTTGGTGCCAGTCCACATGTGCTCTTGGCTGATTCACCGACTTAAAATTTTGTGTATATGTGGCTGCAATTGTGTCCTGTTGTTCTAAGGCGTAGAATAATAACTTGCTCTGGTCTGTCCATAATATGGTAATCGTATCGTGCTGGTTTTGGTGACTTTCTGATCAATTTGATTATTCTCTTCTTCTGTTGATAAGAGACTGGTTGTTCTTTATTTGCACCTTCCTTAGCTGGTTTATCAGCTCTTTCATTTTCATGAACTCCACAGTAGGATGGTATTCACTGCATAGTTACCTTACACCAGCTGCCAAGTTTGGAGAGTAGTGTTCGTATACCAGGTAATTTTCCAGATTATTAAAACTGATATCACAGACTTACAATCTGCAGCTAATGCGACAACTACTGCTGCTTACAGGCTAGAGAATGCATACAATGATACAGTCCCGGAATCACAGAGCCGCTACATGATCCGACTGAAATATTTGCAGGATCACTAGATCATCTCCAAGCTCTCCCCATGTGGGTTTTGGTACCTACTTTAACAAGGAAAAAAAGGCAAAAACTTAATGGTCCCAGTTTCCTTTAAAGTTGAATTGCATCTGCCTGCAAGGCGAGGAACCAACAGTCTGCATATAAATAGGCCAGGTCTGTAAAATGGGTGTGCATGCAACACTCTTCTTCTTTGTAAACTCAGGCGGAAAGTCCCGTTTTGCCCAAATGGACTTTGTACTGGGGCCTGAGTTTTGTGTGTACATCTGTTTTACAGGTTTATTTGTGTGCTGCTGGTTATTTCTTGCTGCTCGGGCAGGTGTACTTTGACTTCGAAGGAAGCCCCCAATTAGTTGATCGACTCTTTTGACATGCTCATTGGAGTAGCAATGAGTCTATAATGGGGACCCAGAATCAACATGGAGAATGCATCACTCAAGTTCTAGAACAAAACAAAGTTTGGAAGTGGATGAACAACCAGAATTTTCAGCTGGAGTTTACAGCTGGTGAACCAAAAGATACTTCACCGGCTCGGTGGTCACCCGGGTTACCACAGAACCTGACTGACTGGACAGGCCTCAGGCATGCTGCCATGAACTCCATCGCAATGACCGACAAAGGTGGAGAGAGCTGATCAGACAGTCAACAGAAACTGGTGACCCAAGGACACTTAGTGTTACCGGATGATGATGATGATGATTGTGATGATGAACCAAAATAAGAAGTTCCACCAATCACAGGATGAAGAACACTGTTTCAGAGCATGAATGCCATTTCTACAGCAATACCTGTAACTAGGAGTTTATTGCTGTTCTTGCAATGAATTCCTGGTAGGCTAAACACAGTCTTCTTGCTCCTTCTTGTACATCTTCTGTGCTGTTGCTGCTAATCGACAGGCGAGCCCAGTTCCTGAAGGATCCAGTGGGTGATGAACTGAAAAGGTTTATTATGAACCAGCTGAGACTGTATATGGTGAAAATACAGAAAAATGTGCACATAACAACACAAATAATGTAACGTTTCGGCCGGCAGCCTTTGTCAAACATGAAGTGAACTACACAAAGGTAACAACCCAAAAAATATGAGACTGTATAATAAAGAACCACGTCAGCCTTATCATGTATCAGTATTCCACCAAGTTGTGCATAGCCAGCCAGTCTGTCCGCCTGTTCATTTCCCATCACACCGACGTGCCCCGGTGAAAAAATCCAGACAATACTTCTCACTTGTGTCCCCCGCAGTGAAGCATGCCACTCTGCATGAAGCATACCTGTTCTGATCTTCCTCAGCATGCTTTCTGAATCAGTTACAATCACGATGTGTGTGTGTGTGTGTCGTGTTCTCTAGCCAGCAGAAAGCTGCAGTGACTGCCTCCATCTCCATTCTTAAGCTGGATGTTGTGGTATCAATTGCTAGGCTCTCCTGCACCAAACGTCGACCAATAACTTTTGCTAAGAAGCCCCAAGCACTTCTTTTACCTCTTGACACTGAACCGTCTGTGTAAATCATCAAATCCTCCAAGCGAGCATTATCTTGAATTAATTGCTGAATTTCCACCTCTGTGGCACCTGCTAGCCAGTCTCTGCATTCCCGGCTCAGCGTGATTATGACTCTACACAAGTCTGACTGTTCAGGTTGTACTTTGACCCACTCTTTTCCTCGCCTAATGTTCTCAATGATGCAAACCTGTCTGACTGTGTCTTCTGCCTGAGCCATCCATGACCTCTCTTATCAGCCGCTGACCCTTAACTGCACCCAGAGCTTCATGCAGAGGGTGGTCTGTGTCTGCAGCTACCCTGAGATATGACTTCGCCTGCAGCATCTGGTGCAACCTAGAATGACCCGCAAAGCCGCGTTCTTTATGCACTCTAATTTGTCCATCTGACTGTTTGAGACGGTAAGCATTCCCAGGCCATAATCAACCACTGACAGGATCAGGTGCTGATATAGTGTGAAAAGCATTCTCTGCTCTATGTCAATTGCAGCCATAGTCTTAAGTGCACTAAGTCCTTTTTGGCATCTCGTCACAACACTCTCCACATGGTCCTTAAATGACAGGCTCCTGTCAAATGTAATTCCCAGGTACTTCAGTTTGCTCTATTGACGTTTCTACCATCTATCGTGAGACTTGGGACAGCTTTAACAATTCTGTTGTCCAGAGAACACCACAAAACAGAGGCCTTTTCCTGGCGGACAACAGCCCTCATTGCTGTACACCACTCAGTCACTTTGTCTACTGTCGCTTGTAGCTCCCGGGCTGTTTGTTCCCTCTCTTCCCCCTGCCTATATGCAAGTATATCATCCGCAAAAGTCAGTATTCTTCCAACTCCTGGTGCTTCTAGGCATGCAATCTTGCTCGTATACACATTAAAGAGCACAGGCGAGATGGCGGATCCCTGTGGCAGTCCCGGGGCCAAAGTATATGGTCTGAGGTCCGTGAGTCCAGTCGGAGAACAACCCGACGTGAATACAGGACAGCTGCAACCCAATTCACCAGCCATGGACTGACCTCCTTCTCCCTCAGTGCAGTCCCACAGGAGTAGGAGAAGGGATAGATAGATATCAAGATGAACCCAATGAGATATCAAGATACATAGTTAACCCCTTCGACTTTCTCCTCTCCTGGTATTAATCTGTTAATGAGCCCCACCAAATGTAATTTTATTTAACAGTTTAGTTAAATGGGTAAGACTAAATACACTTGGAATTTAACAAACGATGTAGTATAAAAATTGACATACAGCTTTATTTACTAACAATAATTTAAATTGAATTCACCAGTTTGTAATGTTTACACAAACAGTGACTGGCTGATGGTATGATAGTGATGAGATTCTTCAGCTAGAAAACTGAGCACCTGGGATTAGAGTGGCGTGATGATAAGTTTACGAACAATGTGTGGACGTGACCTTGATAAAACCTCTGACAGCCATGAGGCACTACACTGTCAAGCTTTCCAGCTTCTTCCCAACTGGTTCCACCTCCTTCTCTGCCTTCCAGCTTGTTCCCAGCTTGCTGATCTCCTACAATGTAGGTTCGTGCACGTGACCCTCTGGTTCTATTAGAGCAGACTGGTCTTCACCCTGACGGTAGCTGGGAACATTCAAGCCAAACGACTCAAACAGCTAGAATTACTTTCTACTGTTGATCGGAGTTTGTGGCTTTCTGGCAGCACTATGAGGTAAATTTAAGAAGCTAGCAGTATACTAGCAAAGTTAAATCCTCCCATTTCTAGTATTTAACCTGTTCTATGGAGAAGATCTAAGCCACGCCCCAGAAGTACCTAACAGATCAAATTAGCTATCAAGGTGCCTGTCAGCCAATTCTTGAAGGCCACCACTCAGAGCAAACATTCTTAAGTGGTAAACATCTAGTCCCAGACCGTGTCACTGGCAGGTGTGAAAAGACGGTCAGGGAAGCCATTGTGTTTCCTACTTGACCAGGTTAATTCCCCTTATCTTATCTGTTGATAACCTTTATGACTCTCTGTGGTCTGCAGTTCAAGGAAGATAATCTCAGGGGGGGATAATTAGTTGGGTTTTATGCTCCTAAATGTCTGGCTAGGAGATAATTATATGACACTTCAGTTCTACAATCAAACCCTACAGCCACTATGTCTGGACTTTCCCAGGTAGACCAGCAGGCTATATTAGGTAATCCGAATGTTATATAATATTAAACTAAGCCTGGCTGCTTTGTCTGGGCTAAGGGCTGAAATCCCACACGGTTTCAAGTAATATTCCAGCTTAGGGCATAGTAAATATAATTCTCTGTGTTTATACTTCCCTACGTCCTTTTTAGGACGTAATTGTTTGTTATTTGAAGCCCCACTCTGGCTTTTGCCAGGGGCCGCAATATAGGCAGGCCATCAATATGGCCAATTGTCTGAATGCGGTTTCTGGGACCTCTCCACGGTGATCCTCATCAAATGGTGGCACTTTGTGTCATCGGGTGTTTATCGCTGGTGTGATGTCCTGGTGGGGTAGAAAGTCAGTCAGTCAGTCAATTCTCTGTCTCTCTATAAACTAAAGAAATTATTAGGCGTACTTACTTCAGAAAACACTGAGGTCCTTTCGTCACAGGTTGGCAGGTTCCACTGTGTTACAAGTCATTTGCATAAATAAACAGAGGGGAAACCCTTAATGCCATAGAAATATTATACATATAATTAACAAAGAGACAATGTATTGATCGGCACTCATAGAAAGAAGTAGAAAGATAGAAGGACACACTAGACAACATAACAATCGAAAGCCATGTGCCAGGAATCAAATCTGTCATCTCCAAATGGTGTGTGCGCGCCTTGCTATGAAAACAAGCGTACTTATGTCTAACTAACTAACTGCAATGTTTACTGCCTTTACATTTTAAATATTGCATTCGTACCATATGCCAGGAAGGAAGCTGACTCCGAAATTCTTGGCAGCAAATCGGAGAAACTCAAAGGCGTCGACATCTGGTCTCAACTTTAACCATAAGAAAAATCCTCCCTGGCAATAAATAAATTTAAGAACGGAATATTTCCATGTGATAACTTCCCAGTTTTACTGAGAGAAAAAACTTTTGAAGCAAAACAGCTGGTTTATGACACACAATCCACAAGTTTAAAGCATTCTTAGCTTTAAATAGAAATACACCATTCTTTTTCTTTTTCTGCCTTTCATCTCCCAGTGGAGTTTAGGCTGTCAACCTACTTACATTGAATTTTTTGTAAACTTGTTCACGATGGTTGAGTTTTTGTAGACTTTCATGATTGCCTGGTTGTTGAAGACACTGTAGGGAATTACATGGATATATGTGCAGTGACATTAATTGTGATAACAGAACATAAAATAACATCTTAGTAGGGAGTCGGCAGTACGAAACCCAAGTTCAAGGTCTCCTTCGTGCCAAAGAACTGCATGGCTGTTGGGTGAACAGTCGTTAACGATGGCAGGCAGGTCGTTGTATGGGCGACGCCTGCTGGTGGATGTAATGTCCTAAGTCCCTTCCCCAGCTAATAATGAGGGTGCTGCTGGGGTGACCGTTTATTAACCCTCATATAATTCATCCAGTCAAAATGGACGCTAGGTACGGCCACCTTTTTTTTTTTTTTCAAAGCCGTGGCAAATATTTTGTGTGTGTGTGCCAGATGGTGGCTGTTGCATTTTTGCTCCATTTGTAGACTGGAAGGATGTAGTTTCGTCGCCCAGCTTCTGAGTTGAGTGCATGGCGTGACACTGTGAGCTGCGTTTGTTTTTCGTTGGCACAGGAGCGGAGCATATGTGGGGTGACCCGTTTGCTATGAAGCTGAAACTAGGATTACCAGATTACCAGATATCGTCTGGGACATGCAGGAGAGTGAGGGGATGAAGAAGCGGATTTGTTTGGCTACAAAAGCGATAGCTACAGGAACACCTGCACAGGACAAAGCAGACATTCTGAAGACCATTTCTAAATGAATACTGATTAAAAACAAGAGGTTAGAAAAAAAAAAACATGTGAAAGAATATATGAATGAGGTATTGGGAGTAGATCCAGCAATGAGGAAAATTAGAGAAAAAGAATGCATGAGTATAATCAGTGCGCTGCGGGTACAGTTAGTATCTACACCTTAAGATATTTGCTGCGGAAAATAGAGCATTTACATGCTATGATGTCGATTTTTAAATCAGTAATCAATAATGAAGACGATTTTATAGATTCTGTGACTGAATTTCTTAGTAATTTTAACCACAAGCATACTGAATTAGCTGCACTTCTTTATTCACCCTTAAAATTGCAGTTGGCACATTATGTTTTGGTTTTCAGCTTGACTGTGGTATCTGCATATTTCAGCCCAACATACAAATTTCAGCAAACCCTCAATTAGTCACCTTTTAGGACATGCTTGTTCTGGGGGTTCAGATAAGTTGGAACTGAAGCTAAAGTTTAGGAGATGATCTACTAAGGTAACTAAACCTACTATACTACACCAATGACCAATCTCCTCTAGGTGCCCATTACGAAATATATTGTAGTTTACAGTATGTTCTGTTTCCCAGTGGCCCCAGAACTCATATGGGGATTTATTCCTTGTGTGGGTTCTGGGACCCTATTATAGGGAAAACAAGAATAGACCACAGCCTACCCAAAAGCATGTCATAAGAGTCAACTAAATAGGAGCTTCTTTTAAAGTCGGAGTGCATATGCCTGAGAGGAAAGGAAAAAAACAGTCTGCACACAAAAAAGTCATATCTGTCAGACAGATGCACACACAACACTCAGGTTCTGAAACAGGACTGCAGTCCAGAAGTGGACGAACAACAAGAACTTTCTGCCGGAGTTTACAGCCGGTGAACGTGAAGAAGAAGAAGAAGACATGGGGAATTAGTGTTGCTATTCTTTGCTTGGTAAATGAGTGAAAACTTATTGTGGAGATGTGGTTTTATAGATGAAGAATGAGAATACCCTGGATAGATAAAAATAGCAATGGAGATTTCCTGACATAAACTGACTCATGAAGAGAACTGATTGGCCACATCAGAAAGAGATAATCTACATTCTTTGGTAATGTGAAAAGGAGATAACCGGAGTACATTTTGACAGTAGGAAAGTTGGAGAGGAGGAGAGGCAGAGGGAGACTGAGAGAAAAGATGCTGGACAGTTTGACATCATGGTATGGAGGATCATCTGTGTCAGAGTTGACTGAAAGTACGTGAGACAGGAGGATGTGGATAGACATGACTACCAATAACACACGGCATGGAGGATCATCTGTGTCAGAGTTGATTGAAAGTACGTGAGACAGGAGGATGTGGATAGACATGACTACCAACGCCACACGGCATGGACTTTAAGAAGAAGATTCTCAGCTTTTTCTTTTTGAGCCCAGTAAAGCAGGTGTTGGATGTGGGCTATGACAAGAATGCATAGAATATCACAGAAAGAAATAAAAACAAACAAGGCAGTCTTCCTCGAGGCAGGTGAAACTGGTAAACTGATAAGACCTGACATGATCATGAGAAGGAAGGGCATCAAGAACTTGGTAACAGTTTTCAAGATGGGTGGAATGAGAGCAAGGAGAAGGCAAAGAAATAAATATCTGGATAGCTTAGCCATTCTAAGGGAGCAAGACAAAAATAGTGACACGATCTGTGATTCTAGTGCTCATGTGACATGGCAAAACATGACAGACTATGCTTACCAGCAAGGCACATGATGACGATGTTGATAAACGCAGCAGGCAAAAACTACCATATTTTTCTATGTATTAGATGCCCCCATGTGTAAGATGACCCCTTATTTCTGTAGCTTCCATGTGTAAGATGACCCCTTATTTCTGTAGCTTCCATGTGTAAGATGACCCCTTATTTCTGTAGCCCAAAATTCATCATCATCAAGTGCCTTGCCAGCTGGCGTAGGCGTTTATGTATCTCCACACATCTCGGTTTTTGGTATTCTGGATAAATTACACTGATGATACTACCCCATGCCACTGTCTCAAGCCATCTACCATCATTTTTTCCAGTTGTCACGATATATTTTCAAGTGCTCCTTTTCCCAATACATGACCAAAATTAGGAAAAATATTTTAAACACACACCATGTATAAAATGCCATTCCCCCCTCTCCCCCCTACTTTTTTTTTTTTAACTTGAAAAAATGTGAAAAGGCATATCTTATAAACAAATAAGGAATATCCTACCTCAGCGAAAACACAACAACAACAAAAATACCAACCTCTGGCCGATGAAAGGATAATCCTTCCGAGGAAGATTCATCTAACACAGCAAACAAAGCATCCATTCTTTTCTGGAAAGAAATAAAATAAAACATTATTTTAGTGGTAAAATCAAACAAAATATTTTTTGCTTGATAGAAATAAAATAAAATATTCTTTTCTTGGACACAAACCAAATAGAGAAAAATTAACCACCTGTGAAATTCGGTGTTTGAGAAAGGCTGCAAACAAAATCAGAAGAGAGCTGAGTTGACTTGAGTCAAGAATTGACATCACAGAACTCAGGGCATTCCCATACGTGTTCCATCACCATCTTCAGCATCCAGCATCAAGTTCCAATACCAGTGGTCCTGGTCTTGTCTGATTATATGTCCGTCTTGCCTTTCCTCTGAGTGTAGTGAGCCCGCCAGACCCTTTGGTCACACCCAGGTGCATTATTCTCTCCAGGCCATAATAATCTAGTTTCTTTTCTATAGAAATAGAATATAGAATAGATTCAAAGTATGCTTACTACCCGTAACCTTCCAAGTGAGGCTTGCCACTCTGCTCGAAGCAACCTAGTCTTTACCTTTCTCATGCATGCTTTCAGAGCCTGTTACAATTACGACTGTGTATGCATCTTATTCTCTAGCCACTGGCAAGTTGCAGTGACCGCCTCCACCTCCATTCTCACGCTAGATGTTGTGGTATCATATGTTAGACTGTTCTACACAAATTTCCACTGGCTTTTGCTGCGAACCACCAGGCACTTCTCTTTCCTCTCAACACAGAACCATCTGTGTAGATAATCAGATCATCTGGCCGAGAATTGTCGTAAATTAACTGATAGACTTCAACCTTCGTAGCCTCCGCTGGTGCACTCTTCTCCTCGCTTAATGTTCTCAAGCATGCATATTTGTCTTATTCTGTCTTTTGCTTGAGCCATCCATGATTTTTCTTTATTCAGCAACCCCAGTCACATGCACACAACTGGGGTGCCTATTGTACATCCCAGGATCACCCACACAGCATCATTCTGTATGCGCTCCAGTTTCACTAGCTGACTCTTTGAGACAGCGAGCAACCCCAGTCCATACTCAGTCACTGAGATGATTAAGTTCTGGTTTAGTGTGAACAGCATTCTCTGCTCCACACCCAGAAGAGATCGTGCGAGAAATGAAGAGATGAAAACTATTTGAACAATCAATAAATCCAGGACTTACAAATTTGAGCAGATCAGTCATAGATACAATGGTTTGGGAATGTATGCAGAATGGGAGAGATTCAACCACCACAGCAGGCACTGGAGGCCAAGAAGTAGAGAACCAGACCGTCAGGGCGACCCAGGGTTCCCTGGGAAGAAAACATCCCACAATCCCTGACTGGTAGAAGATTGGAATGGAGCAAAACCAAAAAGAAAACTGCTGATAGAGAATCCTGGTGATCTCTCTGGCAAACCTCTACACCCCAAGGTAGTTTGAAGTTTGAAGCTTGAACAACAGATCAATATCATGGCACATGAGTGGTAACTTATAAGTGCTCCATTCTTCTTCTAACTCAAGTCTGAGTTTTGAAGAAGCTCAGCACAGTGCACATGCTCTATAGCACCGGCAAGGATCCTGAAATACTTTGGGTAGATTTTTAATTCAAATTTTGTCCAAGCAGCGCTGTTAGGCTACTCTTTTTGATTTCCATCTGCCAAGGAAATTTTTACGTGCACAACAATGCAAACCAGCGTTCGATCTCACTACCAGAGAGCAGAGGGAATTACTAGAAGTCCAAGTTCACATGAAAAAATCCCAGCCCCACCGGGGATTGAACCTGGAACCTCTAGCACACAAGGCGGACATCATGCCTCGAGACCACACAGTACCCCAACATACATAGACAGAAGAGGATCGATCAAGCTCAAGCAACAAGGGAAAATACCAATTGCTAAATTCACTGAGAAAGAAAGACTTGGTGAGGATGAAAAGTGATGCCAGCAGCAAGCTTGTACAATGTTAAAATGGAAACACCAAGAGGTACTGGGCAGATGATGCTTGGTCTTTACAGACCAATTATCACTTGATAGGTGATGTGATCAACATCAAGCAGGCTGAATTTACTTCCCTGGATATTTTCTAGTAATCCTTTTGGCTGGGTCGACCAAGCAGCTTAAGTCCATTTGTTTTACAAGTACGCCCATTGCTGAACAGTCTGGTCTCCCTGTTTGTATTCCTGGGTCTCATTATGGGGAAAAAAGAATAGACCCACGGTCACCCTAACAAGCATGTGGCAAATGGTAACTACTTAGGGGTGTTTCCTTCAAAGTCAGAGTGCCTCTCCCTGAGAGGTAAGGAACCAACAATCTGCATACAAAAAAGCTAGCTCTGTAAAACAGATCTGCCAGCAGAAGTAAAGTTAATAAAACAAGATCCCAGTCAGAAGTGGATGAACAACCAGAACTTTATGCTACAGTTTACAGACACTGAATGCTAAGAAGAAAAAGAAGAAGAACCTTGTGGCTGACAAGCTCAAGCAGACAAGGACCAACTCCAATAGTCTACCAACCTTGTATGTTTTCCTTAGCCAACTGACGTGCTGCTGGAGGGCTCCAGATCTCAGGACACATTCCATCAGTTTTGAAGCATACTGGTTGAAGCAGCCTCCACTGTAGGACAGATTACTGAGAACAGACAAGGACAAATTCCATCAGCTTTGAAGTATACTGGTTGAAGCAGCCTCCACTGTAGGACAGATTACTGAGAACAGAAAAGGACAAATTCCATCAGTTTTGAAGCATACTGGTTGAAGCAGCCTCCACTGTAGGACAGATTACTGAGAACAGACAAGGACAAATTCCATCAGTTTTGAAGCATACTGGTTGAAGCAGCCTCCACAGTAGGACAGATTACTGAGAACAGACAAGGACAAATTCCATCAGCTTTGAAGTATACTGGTTGAAGCAGCCTCCACTGTAGGACAGATTACTGAGAACAGACAAGGACAAATTCCATCAGCTTTGAAGTATACTGGTTGAAGCAGCCTCCACTGTAGGACAGATTACTGAGAACAGACAAGGACAAATTCCATCAGCTTTGAAGTATACTGGTTGAAGCAGCCTCCACTGTAGGACAGATTACTGAGAACAGACAAGGACAAATTCCATCAGCTTTGAAGTATACTGGTTGAAGCAGCCCCCACTGTAGGACATTTCACTGTTGAATATTGGATTAAGAATCGACATTTTAGCACTTGGGACACCCCCTATAAGCGCTCCATCTCCAATTTCAGCAGCAAACGAAGAGTTCCAATTCCGATGGCACCAGTAACTGTCTGATTGTATATTCATCTTGCCCTTCCCCTGAGTGTTGAGCGTTGGCCAGATCCCCTGGTAACTCCTCGCAGCGTCATACTCCTCAGACCGTAAAGATCTATTTGCGCTTCCTCACTGTTCCTCACTGTTCCCTCACTGTTCCTCACTGTTCCCTCACTGTTCCCTCACTCCCAGAGGGCACTCACATTGTCTAGCTTGTCATGGAGCTACGTAGAGCGTGCTCTGTGTTTGATATCATCTTCAGCACAGATTACTGAGGACAGACAAGGACATATCAATATATTGTCCTCTATGTTCCTTTTTCAGCACAAAACCAATACTCAACTTTATTGGTAGACAACAGATCAAATGGTTTGGCTGTGTAACTAGATTTGCAGCAGACAGGGCACCACAGAGAGCAATGTTACTTACTTACTTAGTCGCTCCTCTTCTACCTTGGGGTGTAGAGGTTTGCCAGAGAGATCGCCAGACGTCTCTATCAGCAGTTTTCTTTCTGGCTTTGTTCCATTCCAGTCCTCTGTCAGTCAGGGACTGTCGGATGTTGTCTTCCCAGCGCACCCTGGGTCGTCCCGGAGGTCTGGTTCCCTGGTTCTTAGCCTCCCATGCTTGCCATGGTGGCCGATTTTCTCCCATTCTGCACACATGTCCAAACCATCGTAACTGTGACTGATCCACTCGGGTTAGTAAGGGCTGGGTATCAAGATCTTGACGTATTGTCTGATTGCGGACTTTGTCCCTTCTTGTCACTTGGACCACCTTTCTCAGGTATCTCATTTCCGAGGCCTGCAGCTGGCTTCTGTGAGCTGTTGTCATTGCCCATGACTCACACCCATAGGTCAGGACTGGTACATAGGTAGAGCGGTAAACAGCCATTTTCGTTCTCTTGACAATTTCTCTTTTGCTAAGAAACCCTCGGTTTATGGCCTGGAAGAGTCTCCCAGCAGCTGCTTTTCGTGTAGCCAGCTCAGTCTTAATGCCTCCATTTTGGTCTAATACAACTCCAAGGTATTTGAACTGGTTAACCTGCTCCAACGCATACTGACCCATCATGATCTGGTGTTTCTTCTCCTCTCTTGAGATCACCATGGTTTTAGTTTTGGAGACACTGATGGTCATCCCTTTCTTTTCAAGCTCTTCCTTCCAGACAAGTAAGTTGGACTGAAGGTGTGCCTCTGATTTAGCTATCAGGGCCACATCGTCTGCAAAAGCCAGCTCTGATATACAGATTGGTCTCATCTTCCAGTACCCTACAGAGTACTTCTTTGTCTTCTCCTTACAGGTCTTGATGACATCATCCATCATAAGAATGAAGAGGTAAGGTGAGAGAATATCACCTTGTCTAACACCGCTGGTGGTCTTAAATTCTTCTGACTTTTGGTCTGCTGTTCTTACATAATTTCTGCACTTTTTGTAGAAACTCTGTATTGCACTGATCAGGGGTGCTGGGATGTTTTTCCCTGCCAAGCAGTCCCAGAGCTTGTTCCAGGGTACCTTGTCAAATGCCTTTTCCAGATCCAAAAAACATAAGTGAATCTCACTCTTATATTCCAGGGCTTTTTCACTCATCTGTCTCAGTGTGAAGATAAGGTCTTGAGTACTTCGGTTTGCTCTGAAGCCGCACTGGGCCTCGTCCAGCTGTGGCTCTACCAGACTTCTAAGTCTCTGCTCAAGAATTCTAGAGTAACTTTTACCGGGAATGCTGAGGAGGGATATGCCTCTGTGGTTTTCACATTGTCTGTTATCACCTTTTTTAAATATAGGTATAATGATGGCAATCTCCCAATCTTTTGGTATAGTTTTTGCTACACCAGGCTGCCTGGAGAACCTTCAGTAGAAGGCGCTCACCTTCGACTCCCATATATTTGACCATCTCTGGTGTTATACCATCATGACCTGCTGCTTTTCCCAGCTTAATCTTCTCAATAGCTGCCTTCAATTCTTCCATCCTGATGTTATCTTCCCCATGATTGAATTCCTTCTCAGCAGTGAGGTCCATTATTTCTGGGTCATGACTTCCCTCAGCGCCGAGGAGCTCTGAGAAGTATTCTTTCCATCTGCCCATGATATCATTTGTAGAAGTAAGCAGAGCCCCTTCCTTGTCTTTTATGAATTTAAGTGGGCACTCTTTCTCCTTCCTCATGTTCTTAAGGGTCTTGTAGAACAGTTTTTGGTTTTCTCTTGCATTCTTTTCCAACTTTTCTCCAAACTCTTCCCATGATTTCTGTTTTGCTTTAAGCACAATATTTTTGGTCTCTGTTCTGAGTGCCACATATTGTTTATATTTTTCTATTTCTTCAGCTGTGTTCCTGGCTGCCAGGTATTGCTTCCATGCCCTTTTCTTTTCTCCTATTTTCAATTTGACTTCTTCTGTCCACCAAGGTGTCCTGTGTCCCCGCCTTCCACTTGGGACTTCACCACATGCTTCTACTGCAGCTGCTGTGAGGATATTCTTGAATCTGCACCAGAGAGTTTCAGTGTCCTCTGATGATTCTTCTTCAGTTCCTATTGCTTTCACTATAAGCTCCTGGTATCTAGCCTTAATATCTGGCTCTCTTAGCTTGTATGCTTTAATCCTCATCCCTTCTTGGTTGCTTGGTTTCTTGCATAGTTGTCGGTGTTGCCTTGTTGGAGCAGTTCTTTCAGTTGTTCTCTTTATTGTGACCAGATAGTGGTCACTTCCAATCTCTGGTCCTCTCATGACTCTGGCATCTCTCACAAACTTGAATGAACTTTTCCTAACTATGGCGTAGTCAATGATGGATTTTTCATTCTTTGAAGGTTCACATCTTGTGTATGCATGTATACGCTTGTGGGGGAATTTTTGTGTTTGTAATGACAAGGTTCTGTTCCCTGCAGAATCTGAGAAGTCGCTTGCCATTATCATTCAAAACATCTTCACCATATCTCCCGATCACTCCACCCCATCTAGAGTGATCATTTCCTACTCTGGCATTTAGATCTCCTAGGAGGATAATTTCATCGTGACAGTCATCTATGGTCTTTTGGAGCAGTTCAAAGAATTCTTCTTTAACATCTACTCGCTCATCTTCATTTGGCCCGTACACAATGACAAAATTGACAATTTTATCTTCTTCTTTCAGATCTAACACCATTATTCGCTCTGAGATGAATTTCCATCCCTTGATGTTACTAACTTGATTCCTGGCCACAATACAGCCAACACCTCCCTTGGCTCTCTCCGTCATAGGGACACCACTGTAGAGCAGCATACTTCCATCGTGATCTGTGATTCCTTGCCCCTTTTTCTTGGTTTCAGTCAGAGCCAAGACTCCTAATTTTGCTTTCCTCATCTCCCCTACTAACTCGTTTTCCTTTCCGTTAATGCCTCTTATATTCCATGTTCCATAAATCGTAGTCCGTAAGCCATGCCAGTTCGTCGCCGTTAAGATCCGTCCGGTTTTCTCTCTGTAGTTACTTGTAATCGTGGTTTAAGGCAAACAGGTGATTGGCCTGTTGTGCCTTTGCATGGTGGAGGGGCTGCCTCCTTGCGGCCTCCATGCAGGCCGTCTGGCTGATTCACGGTTACCCACTACTTCCGGAGACGCATGAAGCACTCAGGTTCAGCCAGACCCTCCTCCTTTTACAGCCGGGCTTGGGACCGGTCTAAGCGGAGTTGAGAGCAATGTTATACAGATACAAAAGTATTAGAGACAGAGGCTGACCACGCAGAAAATGGACTGCAGAAATATAAGAAACACTGAAAAGTACTATATATGAAGTGAACAGAAGGGCCCATTCCAGAGATCTCTTCCTGCCCTGACGTCGTGAGGCATTCCAGGAGGAGAGAAAAGAAGAAGTGAAAGATTTTTTCCTACTGCTTATTTCGTAAAGTGTCACAAAGATAGTTAGATGTTTGTGTCTTTTCTTCTTCTTCTTTGTATCCACCAGCTGTAAACTCCAGCCGTTTCAGAGGTCTGATTCATTTGCATGCAGACTGTTGGTTCCTTGCATCTCAGGCAAATGTATTCTGACTTCGAAGGAAGCTCATAACTAATCGACTCTTACGACGTGCTTTTGGGCAGGCATTGGTTCTCATCTTGTTCTCCCCATAATGGGGCCCTGGATGCCACACGAGGACTGAGTGAAATGATTTTGCTTCTTCATCATAACCACAACACCGACAACAGCATCTCACCTACCTTAATGTTAAATATGAAATCAAATGAACAGGACCTTCTATCCATCCAAGACGCAGACTAGGCGCAAATATTTTGGAAAAAGTTCCGTTAGAAATGACATGGCCTCTTCCATAGTCTGGATCGGTCTTCTTGTCAAAGGAAATCAGTCTCGGAGGAGCAGATGATGTGTCAGTAAAGTAGAGAAGGTTGTACACATCCTCCGCCACAATCAGGACGTCATGTCTTCTAGCCATCTGGATCAGTTTCTCGCAACGTTCTAGGATGTAAACATTTTATTAGTTAAAGTCCACAGGATCGATTTCCTTGCACTGAGTTTTATCCCCCATGGCTCAGTCTTTCTCCACAGAAAGGTTAGCTGTCTGCCGCCAACGTCACTCAAAGCATGAACTCAATATACCAGGGATCTCAGTAAAAAGTTACACTTGTGAAATGAATGACATGTCAGTGAACTGAACCTTTGACCCTCAGAGCAGGAGGCAAACAGCTTGACCACACAGCCATGGAGACCATCCCACCCATTTTATTAGTTTCAGCTTTCAGCATCTTCTCTCCTCCTTCTCCTTCTTCGAGTTCACCGGCTGTAAACTCTGGCGGAAAGTTCTGGTTTTTTGTCCACTTCTGGACTTTAGTCTGGTTCCAGAACTTGAGTTTTACAGTTCTGGCTTATTTGTATGCAGACTGTTGGTTCCTCACCTCTCAGGCAGACACCTCTGACTTCAAAGGAAATACCTGTAACTATTTACCTTGTAGCGGCTCTCTAGCGGAATTGGCTAAACCGGATTTCGCGGAGACCGGGTGACGTACTCCTTGTGGTCCGGGTTCAATCCCGGGGGTAGGCAGGAAAGCCACATTTTCTCCCAGATTTACGGTATTTACAATGGAATCAAGGCCGAAAGGTTGCGCTATCCATAATACCGAGCCTAAGGGTTAACAACTCATGGCTTCTGGATACTAAAACAAACAAACAAACAAACATTTACCTTGTAGAAATGCTTGTCAGATGGTAGTAGGTCTACTCTACACCTCTGACTTCAAAGGAAATACCTGTAACTATTTACCTTGTAGAAATGCTTGTCAGATGGTAGTAGGTATACTCCTTTTTTCTCTCTCTTTAAAAATTGGGCCCCTAAACCCACACAGGGAGGTAAGGTTACTGAAATTTACCTTGAGAATATGTGTAATGGCAAGGTTTATTCTTCCGTTGGTACCAACAGTTATTGGTATCAATATTTTTTAAAGGCATCATTTGTTTTTTAAAAAGTAAGTAAAGTAAAGGACCCTTTTTCATGCCTTTAGGCGTATAGGGCATATAAGGCTAGACCTATATTTTATAGACCAATCGGCACAAGATGGGAGATGAGGTCAGCATCACACTAAAGGACTATGTGACTGTTGAGGTCATGTGGTCTCCACATACTATGGGTTTGCTGCCCAGTAACCAACCAGGTTTTTCCAGAGGGCTGAGCATTTGTTTAGAACTACTGTAATAAACCCTTTAGGGTTAACTGGAAAGGTCACGGGTAGTGAGCATTCTTTGGATCTTTTCTCCAGGTCATGCTGGTGTGGTGGGTAATTAACAAGCAGACAGATTGGCTGGATCTACACCGCTGGGTGGTGAATTGATACATGACAGGGCAGATGTGGTCAAGGCCCTTTGGGAACAAGCAACGGAATCAGTAGAGAAAAAATATTATTATGGCCTGGATGTAACTAGAGGGTCTGGCCGGCACACTACACTCAGAGGAAAGGCAAGACGGACATATAACCAGATTGTGACCGGTACTATCAGTATTCGAACTCTGTGCTGGCTGCAGAAGATGAGGACCGAGCATGTATGGGAATGCCCCGAGTGCTGTGATGTCAATTCTTGACTCAACTCAACTCAACCCTTTACAGTCCTTAAAAATTGTGTGCGTGTGTGGTGAGTACTGGCACCTTATTTATTCTAGAAAAATCCATAGTAAATGGAGTTAGTAAACTTTACCTTCAGAGTATGTGTAACCGGTTGGGTTACCAAAGACTGGTATTAAGTACACTACAGCCCAATATCTCTTGTCTGAGAAGTCTGTATTGTCTGCAGGCTTGTAGGTCGTCAGCAGCTTCTCTAAGATGTCTGTGTTTATACCCGACTCATCACTGGGAACTGAGGATTGGCACATGCAAATATTACCTGGTAAAGTGAAATAGAGTCAGTGTATGCTTTTAGATCAGGCATGCCACACAAAGAATACTCCAAGGGCTACATGAGTTGAATTTGTGTTGTCATGAGGGCCACACTCGACAACTAAGTCAAGCATGACCATGGAGATAGCCACTGCTTCTAGAGCACTAGCATGGATCTCCGAGCAAACAACCACATAGGCAGTAATTGTATCAGACTGTGAACATGCTTCAAAAAGCAGCAATATGCGATACGCACTCTTTTGAGTAGAAAGCATACTAAAATCACATTTAACCTCCCTCACCTGGATCTACACACCTGCTTATGCGGACGTAAAGGGTAACGAGCGAGTGGACTAAGTGGCAAGCAATGCACATATGCATGTGGAAAGAAGCATGGACAGAGCAGATATCATCAACACTGTATGGAATGAACTATTTGATAATGACGAATCTCTGACACCAACACGATTGCGTGACATAGGAATAAAGTATGGTGAAGCACGTATATGCCGCCTTCGAGGCTACGATAGGAGACATTATAACCAACTTCTTATGGAAAAAATTTAGTAGAAATACTTTAGACTTGCTGCTGCATCGAAGGACTGGGCACTCATGGAATGCCCAATGTTCAGTGACGTCGATTGTGATAACATAACTAAGTCATTGACGTCAATTGTGATAACACAACTAAGTTATTTAATAGAAATTATTGCTTGCAAAGGGCTGGATGCAGCCCACGAGCCACACGTCAGATATGTCTGCCTTAGATGAAAGAATGGAAGAGAGATTAATATACGACGTGTAAAGGCAATAAATAGGCAGGGACAGCTAACAACATTTTAGACATATAGAAAGGTACTTATTTATCAAGATAAATCTGCTCACTATTTTCTTCTTCTTCTTCTCTTCCACACTGTACCTTAGCGAAGTGTTGGTGGGAGATGTAACGTTCGTTGATGAGCTCTGACAAGAGCAGTTTTGAGACTGATGTTCATTTCTGTAAGGCTTCACTCTTTCTTTTACGAGGTCTTCATTAACTCTAAACCCATTGTAACGTTTTTGTGTGGCTCGCTGTAGTAGATAGTACCAGGGCATTTTTGTTAGGTGTCCAAACCACTTCATTTGTTGTTCTTTGATGATGATTTAAGACAGGCTTTATTCCTAGCATTCATCTGATTTTGTGATTCCGTATTCTGTCTTTCTTTGAAACTCCTGCAGCTCTTCTAAGGCATTTCATCTCTGTTGTCACAATTTTACATTCTTTAGAGGAAGTAAGTGTCCACATTTGTCACTGATAGCATAGTGTTGACCTAGAAATAGTTATAACAAGATTCACTTTAGTACTCACTATTTTGGACTCCCAGTGTGAGTTCCATGGCCCCATTGTCGGGGAAAACAAGAATAGACCCAATGCCTGCCCAACAAGCATGTCGTGAGAGTCAACTAATTGGGAGCTTCATTCATAGTCGGAGTGCATCTGCCTGAGAGGCAAGGAACCAACAGTCTGCATGCAAATGAGTCAGACTTGTAAACCAGATGTGTACACAACACTCAGTTTCTGGAACAGGACTAGAGTCCAGAAGTGGATGAACAACCAGAAATTTCCTCTGGAGTTTACAGCCGGTGAAGTGAAGAAGAAGAAGAAGAAAAAGACTATTTTGGACCGACATTTTGTTTGGACAAAAAACAGTTCTGATAAGATTCACTTTATTACTTCGGGCTCACTATTTTGGACCGACATTATGTTGCCAGTGTAAACAGGGCAGTTTACTGTAACTATTTTTGGTCGCTTGGATTTCAATAAACAAGGTTTTCCTCATGTGGCTTTCAGGGCCTCACTGTGGGGGAAAACAAGAATAGATCCACTGCCACCCACACAAGCATGTCGTAGGAGTTAACTAATTAGGTACTTCCTCCAAAGTCGGAGTTCATCTGCCCAAACAGCAAGGAACAATCAACTGCACATAAATAAGCCAGTAAAATGGATGTAAATACAAAACTCAGGTTCTGGCAGGAAGCCAAAGTCAAAATGGACGAACAACCGGGACTATCCAATGGAGCTAACAGCCGGTCCGTGCGGCTAGACACTCGCCGCGGATCAGAAGGTTGTGGATTTGCTTCCCTGGTGGAGCCGAACTTTAAAAAAAAAAAGACCTTGACTCCTAGGTCGACCCAGCCTTGTGTGAGTACTGGGTGCAGTCCCAGGAAGTAAAGGCGGCCGGCGTAATGCTGACCACATCACCCATCTTGTGCCGATTGATCTATAAAAATATAGTTCTAGCCCTATATGCCTAAAGGCGTGGAAAGGGTCCTTTACTTTACTTTTTCTAACAGCCAGTGAACAAAGAAGAAGAAAAAGAAGGTTAACAAGGTTTTAATGTAGTTAGATGACAGTCCATGACTACTTGGATGCCCTATTAGGTAGATCTCTAAATGTGTAGTGACTTACAATACCAGTTCACTCCCCAAAGGATCCTTGCGTATACCTAAGTGACACATACACTTTTCTCATATAAACTCAGATCAAGTCAGCCATAAGAATCTATTGAAAAATTGTTCCCATTCAGGAGACAATCCTGACGACCCAGTTAACCTTCTCACACGAAAGAAACAGACCATCATATTTAAAGTACGTATTAGACACAAGTCAGCGTCTGTGGCATAGGCCTTGTGAGTGCGCTTCATAATGCAGAGGTGCCGGGTTTGATCCCAGCTGCGGACGGTTTATCATGCGTTGGTTTCGACAGTGGTACTGAGAGACGACGGTCCAGAAAGCAATGGCAAACTACTGGACGTGAATTTGGCTAGAAAAAGTACAACAGCAAAAAAAAAGTGCTGGGGTTGGTACTACAATGTCCTGTAAAGAATACGCAACTAACTAACTAACTGGACACAATAGACTCTACAGCCGTATGTACAAGAAATTCAAGATTGGGGATTCAGAACTTTGTCCATGCGGACAGGTATCACAGAATACATGCTACAGTCATGCCCCGCCACATGCAGTAGAGAGAACATATGTTTGACCAGTTGGCATTCCAATGGGAACCTAGATGTACAAAACAGTGGAAGATATACATGGCACCACAGACTTCATAGAGGCCTGAAGCCTTCTCATATGAAAAAACTGGCAGGGAGAAAGAAAAGAAGAATTTTTCTCAGCTTTCCACACTCAAATAATGTAGACAGAAACCAGTGACTTTTCATGGTCGCGGCACCTTTTTTTTTCAATTAAAATTGTTCCATGGCGCCCTAATCTAAGCAAAAGTATGACTATTCGTATATTGGTTAAATTAATTACAATATTTCAAGGTGTCCCTGGGAAGGGGTCGCAGCTTCCTGGGGCGCTGCGGCGCACAGTTTGGGAATCATTGATGTGGGCAAATGAAGCACTTACCAGGAACCAGGTTCATGCAAAGATCATCTCGGATCATCCGGAAACCATAGAAGTAGCTGGGATCTTCGATGAACACAGGGCAGGACTGTTGACACAGAAGGGAGAGAATCATGTGTAGGCCTTGTGTGGCTCCAGCAGTCAGCATCAGATCTGAGCTGGGAATCAAACAAGAGTTGTAGAATTAGTTTTGACTGAACATAAGAAAGCATCTAGGAAACTCAGCTTCTTGCCTCATGGTTAGCTTTTTTAAATAAAATTTCTGGGGTATGAAACCTGTGATCACGGAGCAGACAAGCAAGCCTTTTGGCTTCTGGGCCATTCAGGCCTCCAAGTTACTCGAAATCTTTTTTTTTTTTTTTAATTTTAGTCATTTTTTTAGGCAATAAAAAAAAAAAATTCTTTTTGTTTTCTTTAAAAACATGGTTTAAGGTTTATGTTTAAACAACGGATCAACATCATGGCACAAGGGTAGTAACCCAAATGTGCTCAGTTCTACTTCCAACTCAAGTCTAAGTCTGAAGATTTTTAACTCCAAATTTTGCTCGGGCAGCACCGTTAGGCTAATCTTTTCGATTTCCAACTGCCAAGGGACTTTTTTATGTGCGCAACAATACACACGGGCGTCTGGTCTTACTACCCAGAGACCAAGGGAAATTACTAGAAGTCCACGTGAAAAAACTCCAGTCTTCATTGGGGCCTGAACCCGGGACCTGCAGCACTTGAGGAAGACACCATACCTCGAGACCACACAGCCCCCCCCCCCCACCCCCACTATATTATTTTTTTTTAATATAAGGGAAAGTAATCACTAAATACAGAACAAATAAATAATTTTCTTCCTTTCCTTTGAGCAAGAAAACATAGGTTTTAATGACACAGCCACAGTGAGCGAAATGACTTCATCATAAATTTATTATGATGATGCAATGACCAAAAAGTCAAACTTTTGTCGCCTTAGATAATAACTAAACAATTTTTCAAGATATATATAATCATATCTACCATGTCTACATCTTATGCAGTTGCAACCAGTACCAAATCTGTTGTAAGGAGATATAAGCCGCGGCCAAAATACATCATGTTACAAAAACCCATAAAAGTAGGAAAACTGGTTTTCTCGAGGTGAAAGGGTCAACGCAGGGAAATAAACAGTCAGTAAGCAAACGTTTCTATCAAAATCATTATGGATGAACAGTTACATGTGTGGGAATACCCTGAGTGCAATGACATGCATTTTTGATTGAGTAAGACATTCATTCAATAAACAAAACAATACTAGAGTACAGAGGGAGTCGCCGTGGCGTTAGCAGCTCTACGCCTGCCTGCGAATTGGAAGGTTGTTGGTTCGTGTCCGGCTCTGTCTGGACTCTGTCTTTTTAAAATGATCTTGACTTCCAGGTTGTGTGGGTACCAGGATCAGTCCTGTGAAGTAAAGGCGGCCGGCATGATGCTTACCACATCACCCACCCACCAAGTGCTGATTGATCTAAAAATATAGGTCTAACCCTATATTCCCAATACGCCTAAGGGAGTGGAAAAGGGTCCCTTACTTACTTTTTTTAAACTGTAGTAACCCCACAAAAACAGATCTGTAATATTCTAATCTTGGGCAGAATTTCATGATCTGTTTATGTGGCACCCAGAACCTGCAAACACTCCCCGCTGCATCATTCTTTCAAGGCACAGGTTTTCAATATCTTACATTTTACTTGTTTGCATTTCAATGGAGGAGGGAAGGAGAGGCAGAGGGAGACTGAGAGAAAAGATGCTGGACAGTCTGACAACATGGCATGAAGGATCATCTGGGTCAGAGTTACTTGAAAGTACACGGGACAGAAGGTTGTGGACAGACATGACTACCAAAGCCACACAGCATGAACTTTAGGAAGAAAAAGAAGAAGAAGAAGCAAATCAAGGGAGGCTAAAATACTTCTGCCTTGTTAACCCTGTCGTCATAGGAAGACTAAAAAATGTGTCATGACCCCTATGAAAACCCAAAAATATTCTTTAAAGGAACAACAATTTTACATAAGTCACTAATAAATTCATAAAAGACATATTTCTCTAGGTTAAAATATTTATGTTGCAGAAAAATATATAGATATATGAATTGAGTTACAAAAAAAAACAAAAAAAAACAAGGGGGAAACACTAAGCCAAATGCCTTCCCCTGGGCGTAAATAAACATGTGTATTAGGTAATTTATTCACACCCTGAACTCTTAAGGTCGGACTGCTGACCTGTCGTTTGAAGATGTCATTTGAATTTATCCATCAGGATGTACGAGCGGTTGCTTGTGTGGGCGTGTTTGGGTGAGTCTTCACAAAGAGTCCTATTATTTGCACATTTTCTCATTGATCAAGTTGTCAAAAAATACACCAATTACTTATTCCCCTAGTCTTCAGCGTTAACCGCGTTTGGAAGCATTGAAGTTTATACTGTTCTGCCACACTTGGCTGGTGGCATTGTATTCTAAATCAAGATTTATTCGTTTGTACCTGATTTCACATTTCAATGGGAACCTACGCCTCTCAGCAAGCCGTCGCACATCACAAATGCATCTCACAACCAGGTCATTATATAGACAAGTCGGAAAACTGACATTTACGGGGAATGGGACCCAACTGCAAGTGTACATTTTGTGGCTTCTTGGGTGAAAGGATTAAATGCCATAATGGTTTGGAGAGAACAGTAATGGAGGGTATCTCCTTCTTCTTTGCACTCACTGGCTTCAAGTTTCGGCAGGTGGTTCTGGTTGTTCGTCCAGCTCTGGACGTCCTTCTCCAGAACCTGACTGTTGCGTGTACCACAATCTTACAGATCTGACTCAAATGTATGCAGACTATTGGTTCCTTGCTTCTCAGGCAGATGCAGATTAGTTGACTCTTACAATACCCTTATGGGTAGGCAGTGAAGAAGAAGAAGAAGGCTGAGTGGACAGGCCTCAAATATGCAAACATCATGCCCAATGCATCTGACTGAAAGAATGAATGACCCAACAAATGCAACTTTGTTTTTTCAAGAGTTATGTACAAATTCGTCCCATTGTGGGATGTAATTTTTTGTTATTTTGAAGCCCCACCCAGGCTTTTGCCAGGGGCAATGAAAATAGCTGTGCCATAAATATAGCCTAGTGGCTGAAAGGGCTTTCTAGGACTTCTCCACAGGTGATCCTCATCCACATGGTGACACTTTGTGTCATCGCATGTTTATCGCTTGTGTGATATCCTGGTGGGGTACAACTACTTACCTACCTACCTTTTTCAAGAGCTGGATGGAGCTAATTAGATAGTCAACAACAACCGGGAACCCAGTGAGGCTTGGTGTTATAAGGATATGATGGTGATAAGAAAATTAGATACCAGTCCACAGTGCTGCCATACTCCTCAGTAAGAAACTCCGATAGCCGATGTAATATCTTCTTGTGTCCCCCTACAGGTCCATACTTAAAAACAGAGTCTACATCAGCATCTTGAGTCTGTAGATAAAATGGAAAACTATGTGGGGTTATCTTGATCTTCCAGCCAAAACATGAACAATGTAGAGAGAATATTGAATGTTAAATAAAGATTTTACATCAAAGCACCCTGGACACACCCATAAGCACTCTATCCCCATCTTCAGCAGCAAGGGAAGAGTTCCATTTGCAATGACACAAGTAACTATCTGACTGTATATCCATCTCACCTTTTCCTTGAGTGTTAAGCATTGGCCAGCTAAGGAATGCGTGTCCTGAGCTTGATACCATCTTCAGGTGACTTAATGGAGAGAGAGAGAGAGAGAGAGAGAGAGAGAGAGAGAGAGAGAGAGAGAGAGAGAGAGAGAGAGAGAGAGAGAGAGAGAGAGAGAGAGAGAGAAAGAGAGAGAGAGAGAGAGAAAGAGAGAGAGAGAGAGAGAGAGAGAGAGAGACAGAGACAGAGACTATCTCATCTCATCTTGATCAAATGGTACCTCACGGTGAGGAGGTGAAGCATAATTGACAGAAAAACGCCCGTTTGTGCACTTCGTAAATTGGGATTCCTAGGGCCTGTTATTCTCTTTGTCCATCGCTTGCATGGTTCTTCACTTCCCACCTGGTCAGTACATCACTGCTTGCTGTGGTATTCTGTCTGCTGACATCAGCGTTATAAGGCCACATCATTTCACCCGTTGTCTTCTAATGAAATCCAGAGCTGCTGATACCTCCATTTTCCTTCAGATTTTATAATTTCTGAGAGTATCTCTTCTTGTTATATTTGCCAGCCCTTCAGAGGAATCTTAACACAATCAGACTGTAACTCGTACCATCAGAATTGGAACTCTTCGCTTGCTGCTGAAGATGGAGACTGAGCACTTATGGGAGTGTCCTGAGTGCTGTGATGTCGATTCTTAATTCAACATTTAACACAGAAATCTCTTTTTGGCTGTAATGTTTTTCCATTTTCTTCTGTCACTGTAAGGGTCTGGCACTGATAACACAGGGTTAGCAAGAAGAATGTGTCATAGAGCATTCTTCTGGTACTGTGCCATCCACCCAATGAGTTGGTTTGCTTCAATATATCTGTCATCAATCTCATCTTCTGTTTTGGCTGATGATATTATGCTTGTAAGTATTTGAAGTTCTTGGAGAGAGAATGTCAACTGCATTTCAGTGGAAAGAATTCTATTTCCTGGGTTTCAACCTATGTTGCTATAACTCTGCAGAACAGATGCAGTTTTATAGGCGGATGATGAGAATCCACAGATAAAAAAGAGTAATGAAGATGTCTTGAAAGAAACTGACTGAGGAAGAGAACTGCTGCACACAGAAAGAGACTATATTCTTTGATCATATGTTGGGAAGGATAGAACGGGAGTACATCATGGCAGTAGGAAAGTTGGAGGGGAGGAGAGGCAGAGGGAGACCGAGAGAAAAGATGCTGGACAGTTTGACATCATGGCATGGAGGATCAACTGTGTCAGAGTTGATTGAAAGTACACGAGACAGAAGGTTGTGGAAAGATATGACTACCAATACCACATGGCATGGCATGGAAAAACTCTGCAGCAATGCATCTGAGGAGATACAGCGGAACATGCCTGGCCAAAAATTATCCATTCTAAAAATTCCCTATGGGAAAACATTGTTTTGAATTTCAAAGGGCAAACACATATGTGATAAACTTTAAAGTAAAATTACAGATCCATTTTCACGCTTTTAGGCTTATAGGAGAAATGGGAAAAGCGCCCATATCTTTACAGACCATTGGTGCTAGGTTGGTAATGTGGTCAGCATTTCGCCGGCCGTCTTTAATTCCCCAGGACAGCCATCCTGGTACCCTTTTTAGGCTGAGTTGGCTGCAATGACCCATACAACAATAAAAATCCACGCAGCCAGCACTGGGTTTGGATCGTGGTATGTTGGAATTATGAGTGAGGCTCGCAACCCCTAAGCAACGGACGCTGCCGATAAACTTTAGGTATCCTTACATTTTCTTTTTTTTGTTTGCTTACAATATTGCATGCAAATCTCTAGGGTGTAGAGTTTCTTCTTCTTCTTCAGCAGTAGCATTTAAAAGGGCTGTTGGTACATTGTGGTTTACAGCTAGGCTGGGATATCTGCACCGTTTCGTCCAATACATCCAACTACAGCAAATTCCTAATTAGGCAATTTCCCAAACATGCTTGTTAGAAGTGCAGTTGGTCTATTTCCCCCCCCCCCCCTTCCCATTTCATGTTAGAGATCATCTTCATCGCACGTCAGACATGACCAAAGGTGCCCCGATCTCCTCCTGAGTATGTCTCTAAAATGCCGAGGTCTGATTTCCACAGCGTGTGTGTGTTATCGTCAAGTGCCTTGCAGACTGGTATAGGCAATCATCCCTCTCCACAATTTGTGATCTGCAACTGTATGTATCATGTGTTGTCACACACACACACACACACACACATTTATATATATAAGAGCATAGAAGCCAGAATCTGTGGGAGGGAGGGCCTTGAGCCCATGATGTCCCCCAAAAATTGGTGGGTGGGAGGGAGGGGCCTCACCTCCTCCCCCCTCCCCCTTCCCAGAATTCTTCCCTTTGGGAACAAGTAACGGAATCAGTAGAGAAAGAAGATTATTAGGGCCTGGAAAGAATGAGGCACCTGGGTGTAACCCGAGGGTCTGGCTTTCTCACTGCACTCACAGAGAAGGCAAGACAATAACCAGATTGTGACCAGCACCATCAGTATTGGGACTTTGTGCTGGCTGCTGAAGATGAGGACGGAGCATGCATGGGAATGCTGTGATGTCAATTCTTGACTCAACTCAACTCTTAAAAAAGGTTTGTTTATACATAAAAATTAGCCTGTTTCAAATATTTTATTATTTGTATTTGCCATTCAGAACAATTTTATTATTATCTTAAACAAGACTTGGGCATTTTCATAAAAAAAGTTTGTGTGTGTTGGCGACCCTGTATAACAGTTGGGGAAAACAGAAAGCTCTTATAAGTATGTGCCCACACGCACTGGTGTGAGCGTCCATGCGCACTGGTGTGAGCGCGCGTAATTGCACTGGTGTGAGCGCCCATACGCACTGGTGTGAGGTGAACGCTTATACGCACTGGTGTGAGCGCACGTACTCGCGCTGGTATTTTGTCAGGGCGCTAGTTAAGTATGCATGGGCTCACATCTCGGCACTCTTCCGAATACCGGTCCCAAATTATTCACTGCCAAAAACTTCCCTTTGAGAGCCTCAATAAGTTATGTAGTAAAAGCATTTAGGCCATCATCATCAGTTTCCACTTCTGCCGTTAGTGCTCGACAGACAACGATGTTAAGACCTTAGGCTAAGCGCCGGGGAGAGGGGGAGGGGGTTGTTTTAGATCCATTGACGCGGCGTTTGGAGGAAAATGTTTTGATTCAATGTTTAAGTGAAGTGGGGAGGATTAGTTTTCGATCCATTAAAGCTACGTGTGGAGGAATAGAATAGTTTTTGATCCATTGTTTACATTACTCGTGACTCCTCTTGTGGGTTCTAGGGCCACATGTTTGAGGGGAAAAAAGAATAGATCCACTGCCACCTAAAAAGTATGTTGTAAAAGGCGCCTAAATAAGACTGCTTAAATCGATTGTGTTAGTCTAAAAGGAGCAGATATCACAGCCTATCTGTAAACCACAACAAAACATCCCAACTGTCCTTTTAAGGGCTAAAAATAAAATTATTACCCTGCGGGGAATCGAACACCGATCACCCAAATACCACGTACAACTATACTACCGAAGACTCGAGAGTTGGGTTCCCATGAAATTATATAATAACGCGAAGCATAGTTTGTAGCGTTCCTGTTCCATATTTTATAAACTATATGACCTCTTGAGGCCCTAAATGGGATTTTTTAAAAACAGTAAATAATTTGGGACCGGTATTCGGAAGAGTGCCCACATCTCTTTTCTTAACAGTAATCAAAGGACTCCTTTCCATAAACAAACTTTGAACTTTCCTGAGAGAGGTCAAAGGTGCTGTACCAAATGCCATCCATAATAATATTATTAATATCGAAAAGAAAAGGCTGTACAGATTAATAGTATAATGGAGGTATCATCATCATCGAATGCCTCGCCAACTGGCGTGTGTTGACACCGCTCTGCTCTATGCCATGCATAACATAACAACATCATATATGATACAAATGTATGACTGTCTTTTTCTGATGTTTGTGATAAGTTGTTTAGCAAGCGTATACAAGCCACATAAACATGATGATGATGATGAACTTTGAACCAAGAGTTCGGAGTCTCACGCTGACAGCTAAGTAATATTAATAATAAGGTTAACTTACCAGCAAGTCTAGAGTTGCAGTTCGCAGCATACCGCTACAGCTTCTTAGCGTTTCTGTTCCTGGAGAACCGGGAGAAAACGAGATGTTGTCTGGTCCGCTCTCAAGTATTCTCAACTCTGTAAGGTCGCTAGAGTCTTTCAGTGATTTCTCCATGTTGCAGGACGGTGTGGGTTTGTGTCCACCCAGGTGTCTGTCTCTAGCAGCCGACACACGTAGCAGACGTTACGGCTTCTGTTTCGTCAGTATAGTCATTCGCCTTATTACTTGCGTTTGTTTTTCATTTTCCTCTATCTTTTTTTTAGATCCTCTTTTCCTTCTCATAATATCCCCCCTTTCCTTCTTCGTATTCTCCTCCTCCTCCTCTTCTTTTTCTTCTTCTGTTATTGTTATTATTATTCTAGCCCTCATTCTCTCAGAACATCCCCTCTTTCTACTCAACCTCTACTCAAGTGTAGTTCACTTATGTTTGACAAAGGCTGCCCGGTCGAAACGTTAAGTTGTGTTGTTTTGTGCACGTTTTTTCTGCTTCCCCATTTTGTTGAGCTTTTTAGTCAAATTTCTCTGGAATTCCTTACATTATCTTGACTGCAGTCACCCCCATATTTTCACCACGTATTTGTAAGCAGAGTGTTCGTTCCTTGCTTCTCAGGTAGATGCACTAAGACTTCGAAGGAAGCTCCAAATTAATTTATTTGTACGGCATGTTTGTTAGGCACATAGTGGGTCTACTCTTTGCCTCCCACAATGGGGTTCAGGAACCCACACAGGGATAGCATGTGTTGTATTAAGAATTGACAATACAGCACTCAGGGCATTCCCATAACCTCTCCCTCCCCATCTTCAGCAGCGTAGTGCAGTGTTTCAATTCTGATGGTACCAGCAGCAGTTAGATTGTATATCCGCTTCCCCTTTCTCTGGTCACTCATCGCAGCACCATTCTCTGCACTATTCACTCAAAGGGCCTTTGCATCTAGCTTGTCATGCACCAGTTCAAAACTTGGTGGCTCAGAACTAGCCAGTCAATCCACCTGTTCATTTCTCAACACACCATCTTTCTTTAGCAGAGCTTACCATCATTTTTTTTATTTTATGGGTTGCTAATTTTTTTTTTTTTGGGTATTTGCTTAAAAGAATTTGTTCGCCTCTTAACTCTTTGAGTCCCAATGAACGCATCATACGTTCATAGGTTCCTACTTACAAGCCCAATGAACGCATGATGCGCCGATTTTATTACTTTTTTTACTACCCCTTGGGCCTGTGATGCTAAACTCCCTGGGACACAAAGAGTTAAGCTTAGAAGTTAGTGAAATGGTTTCACAATGTAATCCTCAACATTTACCAGGGTTAGATTCTGACAACGGGCGGGCGGTTTAGAAAAGTTTAACAATTCTCGTGGTTTTCAGACACTGGTAAGAGTGTCAAACTGTGGAAGCAACTAGGGCCTCACAACATAATATTCTTTTGGTAAGCATTGCAGCCAACTTCCATTGTGGAGACGGCACAATAAACAAATACAAAAATGATTCACTCTTAAATTGTTAGCACGGAGGAGAAAATAGATCATCACAGTCTGGTGAGAGTGATGCAGTGGGGAGTGACGAGGGGATCTGGCCGATGCTCAGCGCTCTGAGGGAAGGCAAGACAGACATATAATCAGACTGCTACTAGTACCACTGGTATTTGAACTCTGTGCTGGCTGCTGGAGATGGGGACGGGGCACTTATTGGAATGCCCAAAGTTGTGAATTTGGTTCTTGAACTCATTTATGGCTAGTGCACTCACCATGAACTGTGCAGGTTATGATTTTAATTTGTTAAAATGTTGTTAAGATACAAAAACTGTCACCACTTTGTTAAGGATTCAAAGCTGGGTCTTTCACATAAAAGCCCAGCACCGTAACAGCTTGAAAATATTGTAAATTCATCTAAAACAATAAGAGAACAACAAACACAGAAATCAAGGAACAACAAAGTCTTTATTTTACATAATACTTTGTTAGATATGAGCGAATCAACTACCAGAAACCTGACAACTCAGAGTCTTTCTTCATAATTAGCTTAAACTAAAATCACATTCAAATTGACCACAACCAGTCATTTAAAGTTTAAGTTTAAAGTCAAGATGATTGACTTCACTGCATTGGGTTTTTATCCCATATGTCTCTTGTAGAAAGCTAACTGCCTGCCGAGACTGCTGCACAGAGCATGAACTCGTGAAAACTGAGCTCGTGAACTGAACAGCACTGCCATAAAATGAACCCACAATCTTCAGAGCATGAGGCAAATGGCTTGACCACTTCGCCACTGAGACCCCTAATCATTTGCTACTACCTGTAAACAAGAAAATCTAGGGATATATTATACTGGGGACAGTGAATACAGATCAAAGGGAAATGCATACTAGCCTAATCTCTTATTGCCACTATTACTTTATATCAGTCGTTCATAATTAGTGAGAAAAATATTAAAGAACCTTTTGCAAGTCTTCAGGCGTACAAGAGACATATAACCTAAAAATATATTCCTGGAGACTCATGCTGTGACCCTGTGAACTCTGTCATTGAGGCTTACATGAAAACTTGACTTTAAAAAAGCTATTTGGCTTAAAGGACCCCACCCTCTCCCTCCCTCCATAACCCCAATGCTTTTTTAGTTAATTTATTCATATCTTGACCTTCTAAACATTTGTTCAGGCATGAAAACACCCAAAAGCATAAAGTACGTGACTCATAAATAAGCCACTTTAGACAAATCAGAAATTGACGGACAAGTAAAAGTGGACCTAACCGGAAGTGTTAGTTTTGTGGCTTTTCAGGGTGAAGGGTTAAGAATATGAAGATCTGATTATGAAAGACTTGACTTTCTCGATATACTTTTGAATTTACTTTGAATTGTAGGAATCAGTCGCTTATATGTCTATTTCAAACAATATTAATTTCTTATCTCATAGGCAAGGTTAACGCCAAGGCCATATTGGTTTGAAAAAATAATTGTGCCGCTGTTGGAGAATGAAGTTAAAGCTCTGTCATACCAGACAAACGCACCAACTACTTTGTTAAAAAGGAGCTTACAAAGTAAAACATAAAGTTGAAAATGTTGGTTGTTTGGCAACTTCAAATGTAGACTGCAGGTCTATCATTAACATCTTGTACCATAATCTTTGTCTTCTTTCTGCTGATTGTTAGCCCTCATTCACAGCAGCAGGCACAAGAAAATGCAGACAGTAAACATTGCAGTTGTAATTGCTGCATCATCCGCAAACAGCAGCTCTCTGATAGTGGCGCGGTGATTTAGGTCACAGGCGTGAGGGAAAGTTAAGTCCAACGTGATGTGTATAAGGAGATACTCCGTACGTCACTCGGGCGCCAGTCCTCCACTGTTCTGGTTTTACGGAACCTCACGCAAGACCCCTGCAGCACGTCCTCGTCGTGCGCCACGGATAATGTCTCAAATGAGCATTAACAGAGTTTCCAGGGGATCTCGGAGTTGGCGGCCTCCAGAGGTGTAGTGTCCTTGTGGCTCTCATCAGCCCCCCCCCCCCCCAAACGCCCAAACGCATGGGTGAAAAAAGTTATCAAACTCATTAGGATCATGAGCAAAGTGCTTGCCAAATGTACAACTAAAATTACAACCCTTGGTTAAAAGAATGCGGAGTGAAGAGAACATTGTTCTGCTGAGACTCAACCCTGACCTAGAGATTTACCCGCAGCACAGACGAGTAACATCTCCTGGGGGTATCGTCTCGCAGCAAGATTCTACCCATGTACATCCTCTGTTAACCCTCAGTGTCGTCGTCACCGCGCTGAGGTACACCATAACAGCAACAGCCCATTGGCTGGCTAAGCCTAAATGTGGGACAAAACTAGATCCTACGGCACACGAGTAAGCATAAAATCCGACCATCACAAATCGTATCGAATGGGAAAAAGTCCAAATGTCCACACCCAAAGACCCCACTCGCCCGAGTGTTGGGACCAAACAGATAACGATATACCTGACGCAGGATGTTAAATTCTGTCGTGCTAACGGCTCGTCAAAGATATCTAACACGCGAAGAAAAAGAATGTACCTATTGGTGTGGTCACAAAAGTCCTGAACCTGCGGGTTGCTCCCCGCTGATCTCCAGAGGGCGCGGCCTTTGTCGAGCGGGAGGCCTTATACGGTTGTGAGGTTAAGCAGTTATGTGCAGGACCTGACAATTCCTTGGGTGAGCCCAGAATCAGAGCGCCATGTGCTGGCTCTGCATACATGGAAGCCTCCTTGGATGGCGGGGAATGCCCATGTTCTGCCCCTGCCTTCCCTTGAGGGCCAACCGTTCCACAATGGGCTGCCCCAAAGGGGTACTCCGGGGGCAACACCTGCGGAGAAGGCGACATAGAGGACACCACACAAATCAGGCAACGTCTTGACCCACACAAAAAATGGCCACAGTCATCCTAGAAATAGGCCTGACGTCTTCCCTCGAAGTCGGAGTACATCTGCCCCCGAGGCAGGGAACATCAAAATGGTTGTACACGCAAAACTCAGGTCCAGGTAAAAGCCAAAAGTCCAAGCGGACGATTAACCTGACCTTCCGCCGGAATTCACAGCCGGTGAACGAAGAAGAAGAAGAAGCAGCTCTCTGATAAGTACATTCCTTTAGCCTACACCACCATCCTAATCTCAAAAGGCATGTTTCAAAAGTAGTGAGAAGTACATTCCAAAGAGGATAGGAGCAAGTACACATCCCTGCTTCCCTCAAGTCTTAATTACAAACTCCTCCAATGTTACACCATCAAAGCTGATTGTACCTTTCATACCTGCCTTGAAAAACTCAGTAATGCAGGTAGGTGGACACCCAGTTTTCTTCAGCGTGCTGAACAGACCTTTATGACTAATCAAATCAAATACTTTGGTAAGATTAATAAAAGCAATATACATGTCAGTTATATAGGAACATAATAAAACAGACAGCAGACATTGCTTCATTTTTATCATGATTTTATCTGTAGTCTTGTTTCTTACATAAGCTAAATATATTTGTTGGCAGTTCACTGCGTTTGCTGTCATGAGAAGCCTTCATTAGCTAAAAAGAAAACAAAAAGTCATAACTGGGAAATCTTCATACACAAAACAGACAGAAGACATTGCTTCATTTTTATCATGATTTTATCTGTAGTCTTGTTTCTTACATAAGCTAAATATATTTGTTGGCAGTTCACTGTGTTTGCTGTCATGAGAAGCCTTCATTAGCTAAAAAGAAAACAAAAAGTCACAACTGGAAAATCTTCATACACAAAACATTAATAGTATGTGTGGATTATGATAAACACACTAAGTTTATTAGTATGCAGTCACACCCAATAAAGACAGGCAAGACTAGATGATATGGCACTGGGGTGTCTCAAACGTAGCAGCTTTGTCCGTTGGGGAGAAAAGACTTAAAAGGCAGTATCATGCAGATCTAGCAACACTGCTGAAACCTACCCTATACCCAAGGAGCGACTTGGCAACACTATACAGATAATGACTTCAGTCAGTGGACTCACAGCTGGAGATGAGTTCAATGACTTTCAAAAATCATCAGCTGCTCTTAGTATGATTCAGTAAAACTATCCTGAACAGTCGTGGATACATGATTAAACAGACAGATCAGCAACCAGTGTGGGATTTTGTCATATAGACTTCTAGTAATTTCCATTGATCTCTGGGTAGTAAGACCAGACGCCCATGTGTATTGTTACCTAAAAAATCTCTTTGCATTTGGAAATTGAAAAGAGTAGCCTAACGGCATTGCACGGGCACAATTAGGAGTTAAAAATCTACCCAAAGTATTTCAGGATCCTCACCAGTGCTATGGAGTTCGTGCACTGTGCTGAGATTTTAAAAGACTCGGGCCTGAGTCAGAAGTAGAATAGAGCACTTATGGGTTACCCCTTGTGCCATGATGTTGATCGTCTAAACCTAAAACCCGAACCTATACTTTGAGAAGAAATCCAGTCTATCAAAAGTGAACAGAATTTTGGTCAATAATGACTACCACATACTTCACCGGCATGGGCCGGTCATTATTCTACACATCAGGACAAGACATAACAAACTTAAAAAGCATATGCACAGGTTTCGTCTACGTAGTTCACCACTAGGCATGTCTTGCAAGAATGTCTCTTGTACAGCCTATTAAGAAGAGAATACTGGCCCAGGGAGTCAACACTGTACTCAAAGCAGTGTGGAACTAAAAGGAAATTCCTAAAAACAGTCAACTTATATCAAAAACACTGACCTGTCTGTGTAAATCAGAACGTGAACACAAGAAGAAGAAGAAGAATATACACACTCATGGCATTCATTATCGGTGCTTTATGCTTTAAGCATAGAGATGAGATTCTCCTAGTGTGATACCAAAGTAGAAATGGAAAGTTTCAGTGCAATGAATATGGCCCTCAAATCCAACCAATCAGCAATCAATCAGCTAATAAACTAGTCAGGTGATCAAATATTCATTTAGGAAATCAGTCAGCCAATAAAGTGATTCATTAATCAATTAGCCAGTCACTAATAAATCAGCTAATAAATCGGTAGTGCAGCAATCAAGCAGTTAATCAATGAGACTGTTAACAAATCAAGCAATTAATCAATCCGACGTTTAACAAATCAAGCAGTTAATCAATTAATCAGTTAACTAATCAAGCAGTTAATCAATCATACAGTTGACTAATCAAGCAAATAATCAAGCAGGCAGTTAACTAATCAAGCAGTTAATCAATCATACAGTTGACTAATCAAGCAAATAATCAAGCAGGCAGTTAACTAATCAAGCAGTTAATCAATCACACAGTTGACTAATCAAGCAAATAATCAAGCAGGCAGTTAACTAATCAAGCAGTTAATTAATCACACAGTTGACTAATCAAGCAAATAATCAAGCAGGCAGTTAACTAATCAAGCAGGTAATCAATCAGACAGTTGACTAATCAAGCAGGCAGTTAGCTAATCAAGCAATTAATCAATCATACAGTTAAAAAATCAAGCAGTTAGTCAATCTTACAGTTGACTAATCAAGCAAAAAATAAAGCAGACAGTTAACTAATCAAGCGGTTAATCTACTGGACAGTTAACCAATCAATCATGTAATCAATCAAGCAATTAATTTACTAGACAACTAATAAATGAGTTAATCAAAAAACACTTTAATCAATCAATCATCCAACTGATGAAGATAAGACAATGTGAAATAAATAATAATATGAGAAACCGAAACATTATATACATATCTACATGTTTTTCACTTAAAAACTGTACATTATCACAGAATTTTGTTATCATTTAAAGGAAATACTAATCTCCTAGAGGAGCAGCTGGTTGAACAGTTAGAATGCCAGGCTCACATGTGAGAGACCTGGATTTGAATCCTCGGTAAGGCTGGGGATTTTTTTCTGTCGAGGGCAAAATAAAATTCTCAACTGCAGTTGTGGCGACAGCATTAGCCATGTGGTCATAAATCCTCAGTCTCAAAGACCCCCCTGCCTACACCGCTTTAAGTGGTAAAATATAGGCAGTAACTGACAACTGACTAATCTCCTTCATCCGGGGTTCCTTTACAGGGAAAACCAGAACAGACCCACAGCCTCCCTAATTGTAAGAGTGGAATGCTTGGGGGGGGGCATCCTTGGTTTGTTTGTTTGTTTGTTTTAGTATCCAGAAGCCATGAGTTGTTAACCCTCTTAGGCTCCGTATTATGAATATCGCAACCTTTCGGCCTTGATTCCATTGTAAATACCGTAAATCTGGGAGAAATGTGTCTTTCCTGCCTACACCCAGGATTGAACCCGGACCACAAGGAGTTTGTCACCCAGTCTAAGCGCAATCTGGTTTAGCCAACTACGCTAGAGAGCCGGGCGGGCAGGGGGCATCCGCTAAAGTCGGAGTGCATCTGCCTGAGGTGCAAGGAACCAGCAGTCTGCATACAGATAAGCCAGATCTGTAAAAGAGGGTGACTTCCTACTAAAGTCTGAAAGTAGGCGAACAATCAGAACTTTCTGCTAGAGCTTACAGCCGGGGACCGCAATGAAGAATCTCCTTCAGGGATGCAGAGGCACTGACCCGCACATGGTGGAGCACCAGAACCAAGTCCTATCCCCACCTCTCTGTGGTCATTCTAGAAACGAGGTTCCCTACCAGAAGTCTGGCCAACATAGATATGACTGAAGACATCTTTGAGATCTGGGTGCATACGCCTGAGATGCAAGGAGCCAACAGTCTGCAAACAAGCCAGATTTGAAAAACAAATGTGCAAGCAATGCTCAATCCTGGAACAAGACCAAAGTCCAGAAATGGATGAGCAACCAGGAATTTTCACTGGAGTTTACAGTCACTAAACATGAAGAAGATGCAGAATCTCCTTCTTGCTAGTTAAATAAAAAAATAAAAAAGTCACCAAGAGTGATGTAGGCCAGAAATCTGTATCTTCAAAAATCAAAAAAAGAATGATAGAATCACTAATGTAGAACTTAGAGAGATAACTCAGGGGTGGGGAGAATTAGACTCACTGCCCTCCCCTATCCCCCATTTAGGGCGGAGTGTTACCTTTGAAATCAAGGTAAGTAATTAGGGGTGTTACCTTCAAAGTCAAAGTGACTAACTAAAGTCAAGGTAACTAACTACAGTTGTGATTTTTGAAGTCAATGTGACTAATTAGGTGTGTGACCTTTAAAGTCAAGGTGAATAAGGGGCATGACCTTAAAAGTCAAGGTAACTAACTAGGGGTGTGACCTTTAAAGTCAAGATGACTAATTAAGAGTGTTACCTTCGAAATCAGAGTGCACCAGACAGGGCAAAAATTAACACACACAAAAGCTATATCTGTGAAAAGGATGTGTACACAAAACCCAAAGGAAGGCTAAAGTCCAGAAGCTGAGCAACCAGAACTTTTCTTTCCCCTCCCACTCATGATGCGGCCAGTCGCACAGCATGTCCTGTGTTCTGGGGGTGTTAGGGATTCCTTATTTACAAAGGTTAAACCATTGTCTCTTTTCTCTTGCTGTCACCGCTCACCTGCGTGATTACTTCCACGTTGTGCTACTTACCAGACCATCAAAACTGTGATGTTTTTGTATTTTTTAAAATCCTTGTCAGACACTTCCTTTTCTAGGGGGGATAACACAGCCAAGGAACGTAGAAATGCAAAAGCATCCCAGTTTCGATGCTCATCTACAGTCACGCCTTTGGCGCTCCACCCTGCAGTACTTCTTATTTGTACACAGGCACCTGTGGCGCAACAAAGAGACTCACAACAACACAACCTCCCACAAACATTATATACGACGAGCAAACACCGAATGAAGCCATCTTTTAACACCCCCACAACATAGGACAGGGGAGGGAAAGGAACTCTTGCCTGCAGGCAAGTTAGTGACAAGTTCCTAAAGGGCACATATATTTCAATGTTGTCTGAGATTAGCTGGTGTAATTTAAAATGATAGGGGCCTCAGGGTTTTATACACTTAGGGCCTCATAAAGCCTTAATTACGATCCTGGTCACCACGAGAAAAGTTTGGAAAGCTCTGATCTAACTAACACAGGAGGTAAGACAGACAATATGGCAGCAGTTTGTCTCATTGTTTTGTCACGTCTGCTGGTATCACTGAATAGTGCATATGACACTTTGTTTCCTCTTTGTTGGAAGAGTTGCTGTCCTTCGTTGAAGAGCTGTGGATGATACAGAATGACAATTAGATTTATGGCAGAGATTATATCAGACAACTCAAGCCTGGACAATTTCAAACAATAAAAACCGTTATAACCCTGTGTGGGATCCAGGAGCATATTCGGGCAGAGGGGAGGGGTAAGAGACCCAACGTTGCATACCAAAGTTAGTTGCGTATCCTTTACAGAAGTTGCATAACCAACCCCCTATTTTCTGGCTGTTGTGGTTTTTTTAAACACATTTTACGTTCAACAGTTTGCCACTGCTTTCTGAACGGTTAGCTGTCAGTATCACTGTTGAAGCCAACGCAAGACTAATTGTCCACAGCTCTGATCAACCTCCCAACCCGGTAGAAATAATCATGAAAGAATTAGGGATTATACACATTTTCTTTTTCTGTTCTGGGATTTCCTTCTGAAAGATTAATATCCAGTGAGTTGAAGGCCACTATTCAGATAACAATACTTCTTCTTCTTCTTAAAGTGCATGCCATGTGGCGCTGGTAGTCTCGTGTACTTTCAATCAGTTCTGACACAGAGGATCCTCCATGCCATGTGGCGCTGGTAGTCTCGTATACTTTCAATCAGTTCTGACACAGAGGACCTTCCATGCCATGTGGCGCTGGTAGTCTCGTGTACTTTCAATCAGTTCTGACACAGATGATCTTCCATGCCATGATGTCAGACTGTCCTGCATCTTCTCTCTGTGTCTCCCTCTGCCTCGTTTTCCAGTCGAATGTTTCCACTGTCACAATGTACTCCAGTTTCTTGCTATTCATCACATGACCACAGAATGCAGATTGTTTCTGATGTGGGCAGTCAGTTCTCTTCTTGGGTCAGTTTATTTCTAGTCATCTCCATTACTATTTTTCATCTGTTTAAAGTATTCTCACCACTCACTCATCAACAAAATCACATCTCTGCCACTTTAGAACAATCCCTTAATAACACACAACTGTCCATGATTCACGCCCGTACACCAGGATAGGATCCATAATGACAATCCTCTAAGAATAAATCTCAGAAACCCTGTTCAGCTGTAAAACCAGTAAAAAGAAAAAAAAGGGGGTAGGCAGGGTCTAGAGGCAGAGTGACTCAAGACCAAAGAGGGAATGAAAGAACAGAATACTGTAATCGATCATGCATGTCCTATGAGAAGATATCAAAACAAAGAGGCAAGTAGAACCAATCAGCTTCACATAATCACAAACATAAACAATTAGTGAATGCAGCAGCTAAAAAGCATTCGTCAGCTAATTACATGAATACTGGGTCTGCAGACTTTACTAAAGTATCTCCAAGAGAAATCACATGTCTGTCTGGGCAGCTGAATCTCTAACAGATGCGTAGCTATACAATTTTATATAAAACTGTGTTGAATGTTAAGTCTCCTATGCCTGTCATAAGAGGTGACAAAGAAGTGGTGACATAAGACTATTTTATTCTGTAGAAAACTCTAGCGGCAAAATCCAACAAATCATGAATAAAAGACCTCATATGATTCGGCCGGCAGTCTATGCTTCAATGGAAGATAAAAGGCAGAAGATAAAGCAGAAAAATATAACAGAGGATACATACAAATGATTAAAAAAAGTCAGATTCAAACTGCAGACATTTACTCACCTTCCATGTAAACAGCTCTATCAAAGTGTCCCACAGAGTACACCATGCTGGAAGATTTAAATTAAGGACAAATGAAACAAATTAATCTGTTTATGTTTATAATTATCATTGTAATAGTCATCATTATCATCATCGCCATCAGTGTCCATGTCAACATCATCTTGTGCCCTGTCAAGAGGCACAGGCAACCATGCTCCTTTACAAATATTGGTACTCAATAATCTTGATTGGACGGCTGCCTTGGGATAGCAGCTAGACAGGTCTGAAGGGTTGTGGGTTCAAATCTGCATTGAGCCAGATTTTCTCTCCAAAACATAATCTTGGCTCCCCCAGGTTGACCCAGCCTCAAAGAGGTACTAGGTAAAGTCCTGAGAACAAAGATGACGTTTAAGGGAAACGTTAAGAAAAACATTATTACAAGAGGCTAAAAATGCTGGGCTAAACTCTGTGTCAGAAACTGAGAGAGTTGCATGCAACAGAGCAGAGTGGAGGAATCGAATGTGAGCTCTATGTGACGTCTAACGGCACACAAAGGATGATGATGATGATGATGATATGATAGTATAGGCTAAAAATAGCAATGGTAGCATAGTGGCTAGAAGGCTGCTTTCCAGTACGAAGATGAAGGGTTCAAACCCACAAGGCAGATTTTTATCCAAAAATTATATTGGTCCCTAGGTCAACCGAGCCTAAAATGGTAACCAGGTAATGTCTGCGGAAGTAAAGCCTGCTGGCAATGTGACCACATGACCTGAAAAGTTCTGATTGTTTCTATAATCTCACATTACAAAATCTTATACTAACTTGTCTCTGCCAGGTTTGATGACCGTTTCAAACTGACCATACACTGGTCGATGGTCAGATGCCTTGATGGTCATCACAGCGTCATAATGCAGACAGGTGATATCATGTTTCTTCTTGCTGCGGAACATTATTCTGTCCTGTATGGACAGGTAAAAATCATTGTTTTACTACGGTGTGAACATATTTAAAAAGAAGACCTAATCTTCTTTTTCCTTCTTTCCCCCAGTGGAGCATAGGCCCTCAACCAACTTACGCAAAGTCTTTCTATCCTTCAATATTACAAACAGCTCTCCCTAGGTTGAGTTCTTCCTGTGTGCAGCTCTCCCCTTGTGCAACTCTCCCTATGCGCAGCTCTCTGCATGTGCCGCTCTCCCTAGGTGTTCTTCCTTTGTATAGCTCTCCCCTTGTGCCCCCCTCCCTATGTGCAGCTCTTCCCATTTGCAACTCTCCCCATGTGCCCCCTGTGCAGCTCTCCCCCTGTGCAGCTCTCCCCATGTGCAGCTCTTCTCCTGTGCAGCTCTCCCCATGTGCAGCTCTCCCCGTGTGCAGCTCTTCCCCTGTGCAGCTCTCCCCCTGTGCAGCTCTCCCCCTGTGCAGCTCTCCCCCTGTGCAGCTCTCCCCATGTGCAGCTCTTTCCCTGTGCAGCTCTCCCCCTGTGCAGCTCTCCCTGTGTGCAGCTCTCCCCCTGTGCAGTTCTCATTATGTGCAGCTCTCCTCATGTCCTTCCCATCTTTTTAATTTCATTCTCTAGCTCCTTTATCTATGTGTTTTTAATTTTCCTTTATTTCTATGCCCTTATGGGTTCCTCTGCAAAGACATTATAGATATATTGCTCTCAGGTTTCCTCAAAGTGTGTCCTACCCAATGCCAGCATCTTTTCTTCCCCTTCTGGTCCATTGGAACCTGTTTAGTTCTCTCCCAAAGCTCAACATTAGTGATTCTATCATACCATTCAATTCCCATGTACCTGCTAATTAATAAAACTTTAATTACTATTTATTAATACAAGCTACTGGCACCATTAGTATCGGAACTCTTCACTGGCTGCTGAAGAGGAGGACGGAGAGCTTATGGGAATGTCCCGAGTGCTGTGATGACGTTCTTGTATCAACTCAACTCTAGTAAAACAGAAAAGGAAATATTGAAAAAACCTTTACTATACAAAGACAATTTGAGTAAAAACTGAAACCACCTACAGTGTAAGAAGGCACTCGGTTTTTGGAAGAACTGTCATATGTATCACTGTTGATGTCAAATTTGAAGGTCGGGTGGAAATTAATGCGACCTTCCTGGAAGCCACCAAATATTTTCCCTAAAAGAAAAACACAAATGATAATGGTTACAAGTCGGGTAGTTTATCAATAAAATGTTTATGACTGTAATGCATGTTCAGAAAGTTTTATAGCTTCATTTGGCAGAATTTCTGAATGTGCTACACACACAGACTGGTCAGAGTTCAATGCCAGGAGCCACAATGAAACCAAGTATTAACTCTTTCAGTAGCAGATGGTTTCAGAGTAAAAACCCAATTTGGCAAGATAATCACAATGAAAAAGACTCACAATGAAAAAGACATATTAAAATATTTGGCCAGATTTCAATTTGCATACATAGAAAAAACAAATAAAATAAATAACAATACCCCATGTGTTGTGTTGATACAAAATAGACATAAGCTAAGTATTTATGGTGCACTGCTGGAGTTATATGCTTCGTCATGTCCAATGCGCGATAAAGATGATCTTTAACATGAACTATGCTTGAGTTGTCGGCTCTGTGGCTAAGTCAATGCGAACGCTTCGCTTCGTAATGCCGGGATGCTAGGTTCGATCCCTGCTGCGGGCAATGCGACTTTCATTGGTTTCGACAGTGGTATCAAGAAAGCCGACTGTCCAGGAAGCAATGGCAAACTACTGGATGTAAATTTGCCTAGAGAAACCACACAACAGCCAGCGGCTGTTAGGGTTGGTTCTGCAACGTCCTGTAAAGGATACGCAACTAACAGTAACAATGCTTGAGTTAAAGTCTTTGTTGAAATGCCCAGGAAGGTTTAAACTTTTCTCTTTTTGATTTGTATTGCACATTTTGAAGTACCAATGTATTTATTTGTCTTTGTTTCTTCTAAACTTGAAGTGCCAGTACTCAGTATAATTAATACATATCACCATTGATCTTTAAGGTATATTTAATACATATCACCATTGATCTTTAAGGTATATTTAATACATATCACCATTGATCTTTAAGGTATATTTAATACATAACACCTTTGATCTTTAAGGTATATTTAATACATATCACCTTTGATCTTTAAGGTATATTTAATACATATCACCATTGATCTTTAAGGTATATTTAATACATATCACCATTGATCTTTAAGGTATATTTAATACATATCACCATTGATCTTTAAGGTATATTTAATACATATCACCATTGATCTTTAAGGTATATTTAATACATATCACCATTGATCTTTAAGGTATATTTAATACATATCACCATTGATCTTTAAGGTATATTTAATACATATCACCTTTGATCTTTAAGGTATATTTAATACATATCACCTTTGATCTTTAAGGTATATTTAATACATATCACCATTGATCTTTAAGGTATATTTAATACATATCACCATTGATCTTTAAGGTATATTTAATACATATCACCATTGATCTTTAAGGTATATTTAATACATATCACCTTTGATCTTTAAGGTATATTTAATACATATCACCATTGATCTTTAAGGTATATTTAATACATATCACCATTGATCTTTAAGGTATATTTAATACATATCACCATTGATCTTTAAGGTATATTTAATACATATCACCATTGATCTTTAAGGTATATTTAATACATATCACCATTGATCTTTAAGGTATATTTAATACATATCACCATTGATCTTTAAGGTATATTTAATACATATCACCATTGATCTTTAAGGTATATTTAATACATAAAACCTTTGATCTTTAAGGTATATTTAATACATAACACCTTTGATCTTTAAGGTATATTTAATACATATCACCTTTGATCTTTAAGGTATATTTAATACATATCACCATTGATCTTTAAGGTATATTTAATACATATCACCATTGATCTTTAAGGTATATTTAATACATATCACCATTGATCTTTAAGGTATATTTAATACATATCACCATTGATCTTTAAGGTATATTTAATACATATCACCATTGATCTTTAAGGTATATTTAATACATATCACCATTGATCTTTAAGGTATATTTAATACATATCACCATTGATCTTTAAGGTATATTTAATACATATCACCATTGATCTTTAAAGTATATTTAATACATATCACCTTTGATCTTTAAGGTATATTTAATACATATCACCATTGATCTTTAAGGTATATTTAATACATATCACCTTTGATCTTTAAGGTATATTTAATACACATCACCATTGATCTTTAAGGTATATTTAATACATATCACCACTGATCTTTAAGGTATATTTAATACATATCACCATTGATCTTTAAGGTATATTTAATACATATCACCACTGATCTTTAAGGTATATTTAATACATATCACCTTTGATCTTTAAGGTATATTTAATACATATCACCTTTGATCTTTAAGGTTTATTTAATACATATCACCATTGATCTTTAAGGTATATTTAATACATATCACCATTGATCTTTAAGGTATATTTAATACATATCACCATTGATCTTTAAGGTATATTTAATACATATCACCATTGATCTTTAAGGTATATTTAATACATATCACCATTGATCTTTAAGGTATATTTAATACATATCACCATTGATCTTTAAGGTATATTTAATACATATCACCTTTGATCTTTAAGGTATATTTAATACATATCACCATTGATCTTTAAGGTATATTTAATACATATCACCACTGATCTTTAAGGTATATTTAATACATATCACCATTGATCTTTAAGGTATATTTAATACATATCACCACTGATCTTTAAGGTATATTTAATACATATCACCTTTGATCTTTAAGGTATATTTAATACATATCACCTTTGATCTTTAAGGTATATTTAATACATATCACCATTGATCTTTAAGGTATATTTAATACATATCACCATTGATCTTTAAGGTATATTTAATACATATCACCATTGATCTTTAAGGTATATTTAATACATATCACCTTTGATCTTTAAGGTATATTTAATACATATCACCTTTGATCTTTAAGGTATATTTAATACTTATCACCTTTGATCTTTAAGGTATATTTAATACATATCACCTTTGATCTTTAAGGTATATTTAATACATAACACCTTTGATCTTTAAGGTATATTTAATACATATCACCATTGATCATTAAGGTATATTTAATACATATCACCTTTGATCTTTAAGGTATATTTAATACATATCACCATTGATCTCCTGAATCCTCTCCATGCCTCTAATAAAGAAGGTCAAAAGATTTTGCTGGTTGGTTTTTTGGTAGCCATTTTGAAATTAACAAAAGAAATAACTTGTTTTCCTAATAACACAGCATAATATTAAAAAAACAAGATAGACGAGTGCAATGAAATAGAATTTTATGACCTGTCGTCAGTTGAAGATTGAAACAATACTGACATTCCGGCTCCAAATTATCACACCATATTATCGCCTATGATGACAAACTCACTCTACAACAATGTAGTGCCACAATGATGAAATCCAAAGGAGAATGGGGGCAGAGGCAACTCTAGATTTTACTAGAAGACAACAGGTGAAATGGATGTCAGCAAACAGTATATCACAGCAAGCAATGATGTACAGACCAGGTGGGCAAACCAAGAAGAGCCCGACCGTGCAAACGTTGGACAGAGGATTTAACAGAATCTCTGAGAATCCCCATTTACGATGCAAACAAACTGGAACTTCCCTGTAAATTATAATTCACCTCGACACTATAAGATACTAGAGGATCAAGATGAACCGAATGTTAGATTTATATACAGCCGTTACAGTGTTATAGTCATTATTTCTAGTCCAGACTGGACCTCAGTTTACGTAACCGCCAGGTGTGTTAATATAACTGTTGTATGCAGCTGAACGTTTCTTTCAGGCAGACTGTGACGAGAGCGACGTTCTGCAAAGGACCTGCTACATGATGATGATGATGCAGCTGAACACAGTTTCTGGGAATTTGTACTTGTCTAAAAGTACAGCTACAATAGCAAGAGGACAGCCTCAGAAATAATGGATCGACAACATTAAAGACAATCTACGCTTTCACTGCATGACAATAGCTAGTGGCAGCCAGCGTGCACTGGATCACAAATGATTCCTCCCCACTACGCTTAATGGCAGAAGTGGTTTATAAGAACACTGAGTTGCAGGACGCTGCAGAAGCAACCCAGCAGTTTTTGGTTGATTCATGGTTTCACTAGAAAATTTTATGCTTAGTAGTTTGTCACTGCTTTCTAAACAGTCATCTCTCCATGAAGTTAGTTGTGTATCTTTTGCAGGCCATTGCAGAATCAGCCCCAGCACTTTTTTTTGGCTGTTGTGATTTTTCTAGGCAAATTTATGTCCAGTAGTTTGCCATTTATTTCTGGAAGGTCGACTTCTGGATACCACTGTCGAAACCAAAACAATGCCCGCAGCTGGGATCGAACCCAGCACCCCGGCATTATGAAGCACGTTTGCAATGCCTAAGCCACAGAAGCTCTCCATACAACAGTCAAAATCAGCAAAAAGTGGTCTACTATTAAACCACCTACAGCTTAATCAAACTGGGTACTTTGGAACATGAATCGTGTTCATACTGCCTAAGCCACTGACACTGACTTATAGAGATGTACAACTATTAAACGTCTGCTTACATTTATACACAGTACATCATTTGAAACACACAAAAAAAAAGAGTTGAAGCATAATAAAAACATATGTCTTAATCTAACACACCTTCAGCCATATAGTTGAGAAGCTGATCTCCACCTAAAAGAGTTTCAAAATTTGGAAACTCTTCAGATGTGATCTGGTTCACCTTTCTCTCGACAGCATGCCGTTTCCGTTCAATTCTGAAGTTCAAGTCTCCAAACCAGAAGATGCAGTCAAAGACAGAAGTGACGTCTGCTGTAATGGACAAAAATGGGACACAATTGCTAAATTATGAAGTGATAATAAAAATAAAACAAAATACTCAGGACTCTGGAAGGCTGACTCCTTGATACTGGCTATTTTCAGATGATTAACAAAAATTCCAAACTTGATCCTTTTTCAGGAACCGGGAGGCCTGGTTATTTCCAGCAATTAAACACGTTATCAGAAAAATGTAACCAATCAGGACCCAGTTTACAAAGGGCTCAATGTCACCAATCATGACCAAGTTTACAAAGGGTTCAATGTAACCACTCAGGACCCAGTTTACAAAGGACTCAATGTAACCACTCAGGACCCAGTTTACAAAGGACTCAATGTAACCACTCATGACCCAGTTTACAAAGGACTCACTGTAACCACTCAGGACCCAGTTTACAAAGGACTCAATGTAACCACTCATGACCCAGTTTACAAAGGACTCAATGTAACCACTCATGACCCAGTTTACAAAGGACTCAATGTAACCACTCATGACCTAGTTTACAAAGGAGGGGGGGTGTAGAGGGTATACCAACACCCCCCTCCTTTCCTGCCCATGGGTCCCTGGAACCCACATGGGCAATAAATAATGTTACATTAGAACTCTTACCTATTCATTATCATCATGTAGCAGGTCTTTTGCCAAATATCGCTCCTATCACGGTCTTCCTGAAAGAAACTCATCACTCATCAGCTCACCCGATCTGCACACTTTCCTACACGAAATGTCATTTACATCCTGAGCTCATCTGTGTGCTGGTCGACCCCTGCCCCTTTCCTGGCACCATGCCCTTTGCTACCACTCTTTCTCTCCACTACTACTTTTTCTTACCTATTACACTAATAAAATAACGTTCCTCTACAGTTCTATACATTAAACCAATAAAAAATGCAATATTAGAAATCTGTTATACCAAAAATATTATTATACACTATACCTCTAAAAAAATACAAAATACTGGGTTATAGTTCTTTCCACTAAAACCCTCATAGCTTCATTAAATTAATTACATTAAATGATATTCCTCCCCACGCTTAATACCAGAGGTGGTTTATGATGATGATGGTGATGATGATGATGATGATATTTAAAACCATACCAGGCTTTCCTGATGGAGAATTGCTACTTGACTTTGGCAACTTCATCTCAGTAATAACTTTACAATAATCTCCAAGGCGGCTTTTCTTGCGGGATGTTTCATTGTCTCTGTCAGCTGAACACAAGACACTGTAAATTACTTGTCATATTAAGCGATATGTATGGAGGTAAATCATGGATTATTTCATAAACACTGAAGAATATGATTTAAGCTTTCTACCAAAAGCTGAGTGTCAAGCTATGAAATGACATCGCAGCACTCAGGACATTCCCGTAAGTGCTCCATCCTCATCTTCAGCAGCCGGTGAAGAGTTGCAATTCTGATGGTACCGGTAGCAATTTAATTTTATGTCTGTCTAGCCTTACCTGTGAGTGTAGAGTGTCGGTCAGATCTCCTGGTCACTCCCAGCTGTACCATTCTCTCCTGTTGAGTGTAGAGTGTCGATTAGATCCCCTGGTCACTCCCAGCTGTACCATTCTCTCCTGTGAGTGTAGAGTGTCAGCCAGATCCCCTGGTCACTCCCAGCTGTACCATTCTCTCTTGTGAGTGTAGAGTGTCGATCAGATCTCCTGGTCACTCCTAGCTGTACCATTCTCTCCTGTTGAGTGTAGAGTGTCGATCAGATCCCCTGGTCACTCCCAGCTGTACCATTCTCTCCTGTTGAGTGTAGAGTGTCGATCAGATCCCCTGGTCACTCCCAGCTGTACCATTCTCTCCTGTGAGTGTAGAGTGTCGATCAGATCCCCTGGTCACTCCCAGCTGTACCATTCTCTCCTGTGAGTAGAGTGTTGATCAGATCTCCTGGTCACTCCCAGCTGTACCATTCTCTCCTGTGAGTGTAGAGTGTCGATCAGATCCCCTGGTCACTCCCAGCTGTACCATTCTCTCCTGTGAGTAGAGTGTCGATCAGATCTCCTGGTCACTCCCAGCTGTACCATTCTCTCCTGTGAGTATAGAGTGTCGATCAGATCCCCTGGTCACTCCTAGCTGTACCATTCTCTCCTGTGAGTGTAGAGTGTCGATCAGATCCCCTGGTCACTCCCAGCTGTACCATTCTCTCCTGTTGAGTGTAGAGTGTCGATCAGATCCCCTGGTCACTCCCAGCTGTACCATTCTCTCCTGTTGAGTGTAGAGTGTCGATCAGATCCCCTGGTCACTCCCAGCTGTACCATTCTCTCCTGTTGAGTGTAGAGTGTCGATCAGATCCCCTGGTCACTCCCAGCTGTACCATTCTCTCCTGTTGTGTGTAGAGTGTCGATCAGATCCCCTGGTCACTCCGAGCTGTACCATTCTCTCCTGTGAGTGTAGAGTGTCGATCAGATCTCCTGGTCACTCCCAGCTGTACCATTCTCTCCTGTGAGTGTAGAGTGTCGATCAGATCCCCTGGTCACTCCTAGCTGTACCATTCTCTCCTGTGAGTGTAGTGTCGATCAGATCCCCTGGTCACGCCTAGCTGTACCATTCCCTCCAGACCATAATGATTTAATGGTGCCTCCACATGGTTCACTTGCTCCAAAAGGGCCTTGATCACATCTAGCTTCCCATGCATACTTTCACCACCAATTGGTGCAGAACTAGCCAATCTGTCTGCATGTTCATTACCCAACTCTCCTGCTTGACCCAGAGATAACAATTATTACCCAAGACCTCTGAAGCAATGCTTGCCACTCTGCATGGAACATGCCTGTCTCCACCTTTCTAGATGAATGCAAACGACTGCGCTAAAATTCATGACATGGCTGAGCACTATAAAAGAGAAAATAAAGAAAAGATGATAAACATACGGAAGGAATAGCCATAATAATAACAGCCAAAGGTGCGAAGGGCTTGTTACAAGAACTGAGTAGGATAGAATTGAATAAGGAATCTCTCCATGTAAGTTCCAGGCTCCATCGTGGGGAACAAAAAGAACTGACCGTCTGCCCTCTAACAAGCATGTCGTAAGATTAGACTAATTAGGGACATTTCCTTCAAAGTTGAAGTGCATCTGCTTGAGAGGCGAGGATCCAACAGTCTGTATACAAATAAGCCAGATTTGTAAAACAGATGTGCATGCAAAGCTCAGGTTCTGGAACAAGACTAAGGAAGTGGACGAACAACCAGAACTTTCCGCAGGAATTTTCAGCTGATGAAGGCAAAGAAGAAGAGTAAGGCATCAACTACAAACCCAGTGTGTCATAGTTAGTTAGTTAGTTGACAGATTATCTTCATTGAACCATTCAGTCAATAAGTACCCGGATTATCTCCTTAGTAAACCCCGTAGCATGTACCGGCTCATGACGCCAGTTCTGTGTTGATTTCTGATTCTCCTTTGGCTTCCTGTACAGCACTCTTGTCTGGCCACACCCCTTTTAACATGCTGTTCTTGCAGTCTGGTCATGGTTGCAGATTCACAGTCATCACTTGGTTCTCGCAAATGTCTTACTTCTCCTGTGTCATTTACATGGCTTTTTAGCAGGACACCTAATCTTTGATAGTAAAATGAATCCAAGACAACTTAATTAGTCTATGATCTGATCAATCAATTAATTCTGAGAAAGGTGGCTGGATCCATGAAATGTTCTCCCCAAGACTCGCTTCATTGCCTCTCTAGAGAGGGACACTGTGTTATATTCAGACTAAGGACACAGCACAACAGACTTCGCCAACATATGTTCACATTTTGTGATGCAGGAAACATGAAGATGTGTCCTTGCAAGTCGGCACAAGAAAATGCTGAGCATGTGCTCCAAAACTGTAAACTGTATGCTGCTAACAGAGAAGCAATCTGGCCTATTCAAACCTCAGTTAAGACAAAGCATGTATAAAGGGAGATTTGCAATGCATGATAGCTTTCATAAAGGCTACTGGCCTCCTGAAACGTTTTATGATAAAAAAACAAAAATCAAAGAATAAGAAGAAGCATCAATCAATCGACATGATTATCTTTATTTCCCTACCTAAGTCAAATAAATATGCCGAAACATCCCGCTTTTGATATTAAAATCAATTCATGACAACTCACATGTTAAATGGCAGTTGATGAAGAGGTATGATGTCCCAAACAAGGAGAAGCAGATACCGATGGCTCCTTTAGTCTTGACCATCGTCACGGCCCGCAGTGAGATGGCATCGTCCTCTGGATCTACATGAACCAAATAGCATCGTAACAATCAGTTACAACACACACTGAGAACATCCGTGGGTTACAGTAGCCTTTTTTTCTTCTTCTGTGTTCTCCTTTAAAAGGACCCTTGGCACAATGTGTTGTGGTTTACAGCTAGGCTGTCACATCTGCACCTTTTAGCCATGACCAGCTCTAGCTGACGGGCCGTGCTGCTGGCGTCACCGGGTCGGGCTAACGATGCTTCAACACAGCGGTTCTCAAACAAGAAATAAACTATTGTCGACAGTGGTGAGAGAAGACAACTTAAATTTGAACTTTGAAGTATCTACATGCTTTCTTCAATAATTTCACAATTTTTAGCCGACTTTTCTTGAATATTACCGCGGCTCCCCTGACACACGCTCACGGCACCTCAGGGTAACTCGGCACGCAGTTTGAGAACCGCTGCTGTAACGCATCGTTAGCTCGACCTGGTGACGTCAGCAGCGCGGCCCGTCAGCTAGAGCCGGTCATGTTTTAGCCCTACACATCGGATTTCACTGAGGTGTATTCAAGGAAGCCTCAGCACACAAATCCCGCCATCTTTCTCCGTTTTCCGCTCGTTGAACAAGTAAATGTAATTTATTCCTGTTCATTTCTTGATGTTGTCATTCCAGGTTCTTCTTTGCCTGCGCCCCTTTTTTTCTTCATCTACCCCTCAATGCTCCTTGAAGTATAATCTTTGCAATCGAATCATGTCTCACCAGGTGCCCGAACTAAACCAAACTAGCTGGGAACATTTCACCACTGCCAGAAGAGACTCCTGATGTCCTGAAAATTTGTTTATTTCGTCTCTTACATATCTGTTATTTTTTTCTTTAAATAGCTAATACGTCTATAGCATTTATGTTCGAAAGCCTTAATCCTCCTTTCCATTTCCGCAGTGAGAGTCCGACTCTCACATCCGTAAAAGAAGATAAATGACACCAATGATTTGTACATACTGACCTTTTCTGCTATGCTGATTTTGCTCTTCCACATCCTATTCAGCTGTTGCCATTTTTGAGATTCCATGTATCAAAAACACAGTGCTCCCTGGATATTTTTATATTTTTAAGTGATTAAGTGATTATCTTTATTTCCCTACCTAAGCCAAATATATATGCCGAAACATCCCGCTTTTGATATTAAAATCAATTCATGACAACTCACATGTTAAATGGCAGTTGATGAAGAGGTATGATGTCCCAAACAAGGAGAAGCAGATACCGATGTTGCCATTTTTGAGATTCCATGTATCAAAAACACAGTGCTCCCTGGATATTTTTATATTTTTAAGTTTGGTTCTTGACTGCTCAATGAAATGTACAATGGAAAATCAGTTTTTTTTTTTGGTGGTGCCCATCTCCTGTCCAAGTACCTGAATCCGTGTCTACAAGTTTATATTCTCCCTGTGTTGACCGACCATAACCCTAATACACACACAGGAATTGTAGATTTTAGCAAAGAATATAATAAAAGTAAAAAGTAAGGATCAATTTTCACACCTTTAAGTGCACCGGGCAAATGGGAAGAGCATCCCTTATTTTTACAGACCAATCGGCACAAGGTAGGTAATGTGGTCAGCATTACGTCGGCCATATTTACTTCCCCAGGACAGCCATTCTGGTACCCATTTTAGGCTGGGTCAACCTGCGACGCCCCATGCCATGATAAAAATCTATGCAGCCAGCAGTGGGTTTCGCTTGCGGTATGTTGGAATTACAAGTCGGACTCGCAATACCTAGACCAAAGATGCTGCAAAGATTATAATACTGTAACCTTAAAGAAAAGGAGAAGGAGGAATAAGAATTACAAGGAAGAAGAAGGCAAAGGAAATGAAGGAAGAAAGAGAAAAAAACAAGAAAAAGAAGAAGCAGGAGGGGTAGGCAAAGACAATCATGTGGCAGGAAAGCATGGGGGGGGGGGGGGAAATGATGAATCAGCAACAGCAGAATAATAATAAGTAGAAGAAGAAGAAGAACAAGAAGAAGAATAAAAAGAAGCAGAAGAAGAAGAAATGAAACAGGAATCAATAACTAACCTGAACAGAACCAGATGAGGTCTCTACGGATAAAGACAGCCAAATGTAGTGAACCCAAGGACACAGAATGAAACAGCACATGAGACGGACCAATAGTCTCCTGTACTGTGATCTCCCACTCCTTTCTGAAACAGAAGCATCACAATATTACACACAACAACATCCTGGTACGCCCAGAGCTTCTCAAAAAATCTCTGGCACTGTGTGCTAGTCTGAAAAATCCTGCAAGAATTGAACCCAGACATTCCCTTGTGTATTCCAGGTCGCCATTTTGCTGAACAAGAATAGACCCTCTGCCCCCCACCCCCAAAAGCTTGTTGAAAAATCCGACCATTAAGAAGAACCAACAGTAAGCATACAAATTAGCCAGATCTGTAAAATGAGTGTGCGTGCAAAACTCAAGCTCTGGAACAAGATCAAAGTTCAGAAGTGGACGAACAAATAAAACTGTCATCGGAGTTTACAACTAGTGAACATGATGAAGAAGAAGAAGACATTAAAATATGGGAAGGAGAGGGAAATCATGATCATGATCATCCTTTTGTGCCATTATTTGTCACATAGGGCTCGCAGTCTATTCCTCCATTCCGCTCTTTCCTGTGCAGCTGTTTCAATATCATGAATGGAATCCAGTCCAGTAACTTTGGCCTCTCTCATTAACATTCATCTTAGGCTTTCTTTTGGAAGCTCTTATTTCCTCAATCCAGTTGTTTCCCATTTCAGTGTCTGTCTGGCGATTCTCCATCTGCTTCTCCTCAGGATTTGTCCTATATATCGCCATCTTCGCAGAGACAGAAATGGATAGGAAGAATTGGCACCAGTTGACCGAGAGCCTATTTTTCACTAGGAGATAAAAGGTAGAAAAGTTGACCTAAATCAAACATACATTTTATCAACACACTGCTATAAGTGCACAGATAGTTCAGACAACACCTACTTGGCCATATTGTTTTCTTGGGTGCCGATGGCATAAATATCCTGCACATAGTCACATCTCTCTGGGAGGATAAAGTCGTCGATCGAGGTCTTCAAATCCTAGCCACATTTTAAAAAAAAATAAGCAAAATCATTCATGCAAGAAAATTTACTGGGCATGCTATTCAATAGCTTTTGTGTTCTTTTGTTTTTTGTTGTTGAGTTTTTAGTGGCTTAGAAATTTGAAATTATGTCCACCTCTAACTTAAGTACTTTATGGTTCCATTTGTGAATGTTTTTTGTTAAACAAAAATAAGGAAATTTGGGATACCACACCTTTCACAATCTGACAGTAGTGGATTAGATAACTAGTTTTTGTAGAAAAGGCACACATAAAGAAATAAAAATGTACCTCAGAGGTGGAAATTATAAAGGGTGGGCCAAGAAGACTATTGCTGTGACTACAATTAAAAACCAAAAAAAACTTTCATGACAGTGTTTGATCAATATTTTTTGAGGTTATAATTGTGATATAGCATTCCTATTGTTATTTCAGACAACAGATTTTTTAACATCTTTGTTTAGGGTTCATTTTTTTCCTAGCAATTATGATGACATTTATGTTGACTTCACTCTGACCACAGATTCAGGGGAACATTGGTTTTGGAACTTAATTCATTTTGAAAAGTTGTTTGGAAACCAAGCTGTTTGAAAGCTTAACTGTTCCACTAGGGATATGTTCGAGAACTGTTGTTGTTGTTCGTCCATCACAAGCTATGAAGACCACTCTTTCTTTCATCCATCAGGAACTCAATGTTTGTGAGTCAGCAGGTAACTTATAAGTCCAGTACGTGCCCGGAAGAATCTGGGCAATGAAGGCAGGGGACAGTGTCTGTGGATAAAAGGCTCGTGTGGCGGTCCTTTCTGGCCTGTCTGTGCTGTTCAGCTGCCCTTTTTCTTGATGCCTCACACATTGTTGCACCATTTCGGATATTTGTGCGCCATAAAGTCCGGTCTTGTGCTGCAGGCTTCCAGATGTCAGGGTTTATGCTGAAGGCTTTCAATGATGCTTTGAGTGTGTCCTTGAAGCATTTTTTTCCTGGCAATCATGAGAACGTCAACCTTCATGTATCTCACCATAGAAGATTATTTTTGGGAGCAGATGGTCAGGCATTCAAACAATATGGTCGACCCATCGAATCTGTGATTGCATCAGGTTGGTATTGAAGCTGGGAATGCCTGCCCTATCCGGTATGGCAGTGTCCGGGACCATTTCTTGTCACTTCATGTTCAGTATCTTTCTCAGACAGACTGTATGGAAGTGGTTGAGTTTTTTTTTCTGACATCTATATACTATAAGTTCCATAAGCACACAATAGCACCGGAAGTGACACTGTGAGCTATGTTTGTTTTTCATTGGCACAGGAACGGGGCTACTATGGGGTGACTCGTTTGCTATGAAGCTGAAACTAGGATTACCAGATTACCGGAAGTACTGCAGCTCTGAATACATTCAGTTTTGTTTGTAGAATGATGCCACTTTGATGCCAGACATTTGTCTATAACCTGGCAAATGTGCAGCTGGCTTTAGAGATCCTGGTGCTCACCTCATCATCGACAGTGACATTCTGAGACAATGTGCTACCAAGGTATGTGAATGTTTCCACAACCTTTGATTTATTGTCATTTACCAGAATGGTTGGTTCAGTACACACTTTGCCTTTTGTTGGTTGGTGCATAGTTTAGGTTTTCTCAGTCTTAATGGTAAGCTCAAAATTGGTACAAGCCTCGTAGAATCTGTCCATGTTACACTGGAGACCTGCTTCTGAACCGGCATAAAGAGCACAGTCATCAGCAAACAGAAGATCCCTAATAATACATGATTTGACTTGGTTTTCACTTTGAGCCGCCTAAGATTAAAAAATTTTTCATTGATGCGATAGCAAATATCAAAGTCTGTTTCTTGATCTCAAAAAGCGTAAAACAGTACAGCTGAGAACATGATACTGAATACAGCTGGTGCAAGTAAACATCCTTGTTTGACACCATTTGTAACATGGTGACACCATTTGTAACATGGAAAAGTTAGGAAAATTCTTCATTTTCCTGGATTCTGGCCTGCATTCCATCATGCAGTTGCTGAATAATCATAAAAAATTTCTTCGGGCAGCCATAAATTGCCATGATCTTCCACAGACCCTCTCTGTTGACTGACTTGAAAGCTTTTGTGAGGTCAATGAAAGCCATGAATAAGTAAGTCACAATGCTGTTCCTGACATTTTTCTTGTAACTGCCCTTTAGCAAACATCATATCTATGGTTCCGCACTCTTTCCGGAATCTGCATTAGCTTTCAGGTAGCAGGCCTCCATCAAGGTGTGTTGTAAGATGATTTAGAAGTATTCTTGCAAACATTTTTTCCTTCGACTGATAGCAGGAATATGCCACGGTGATTATTGCAATCCTGGCGATTCCCTTTCCACTTGTAGAGGTAGGTGTTCAAGGTTTCATTGTATACCGATACCTGCACAGAACTGCAGGGACACACTATATAGGTGCCTTAATTATAACCTCTTAAGAGGTTAAACAGGGTAACAGGATTTGCTCTGTTGGTTTGGCATCCAGGAAGTGATTAAATCACATGGGTATTTAAGAACTTGGTGGAGCACTGTGAGCTGTGTTTTTCAAGTGGAATGCCTTTCATTTGTGCAGTGGTTGTGTCATGGTATTTAATATGGTCGGTAGCTGGTTTACATGTGAGCTTATGTAATAATTCTACAAGGGTATAGCCAATTCATTGTTCCAAAATACTTCCATCAATGACAAACTGCATTTCTGGTGGCAACTGTTGGCTTTGGCACCTCTAGCAACTGCCATATGTATTTACAGAGTGCGCATATTTCTGGATTGTGCAGGGACTAACAGTTCACCAGTTTTTCAAATGGAAGAATGAGGGACATTTCATTTGATTTTCACTGGCACAGGAACGGAGCAAGTATGGGGAAACCCAATTGCGGTGAAGTTGAAACCTCGACTAAGACTAAGAAACATGGGTTAAACAAAAAGGGGAAGTATGTATTCAGCCCCCCCCCCCCTTTTCTACAAATCAGGGTAGGGTGAAACCATGGAAGCAGGTGGTGCAATGAACTTGAGTTCCTAAAAACAGGCAGAGAATCATATTAAAGTAACAACAGCTACTGTCATCTGACAAATATATTCACTGTCAAGAAAGAAAGCAATGGCAAACTACCTTCTTCAAAGATGTTGAGGGGAAAAATCACAATCCGAACACAAATGTGGACTGCATAAACTCAAGTATCTTACCTTTAGTTCATTCATGTTCCAGGTGCCCACAAACACATTCACTTTCCTCTCTGGGAAATAACGGTCGAGCTCGTACGTTCCCAAGGCTGATAACGCTATGCTCCCATCGTAAGTGTTTCTGTAATTATTTGAGAACCGTATATTTATTACATCATTAGATCAAATATTTGAGGGTGATCATAACACAAGTTGGATTAATCTCGTCATCCGCTTGTGGGATACAATTTTTAACTATTTTAAAGCCCCACTCTGGCTTTTGCTGGGGGCCCTAAATATAGCTGGGCTGAAATATGGCCAAACGGCTGAATGGGGATTTTCTGGTACCTCTTCACGGGTGATCCTTATCCGCATGGTGGAATTTTGTGTCACTGGGTGTTTATCGCTTGTGTGATGCCCTGGTGGGGTACAACTTACATACATACACAAGATGGAAACTGTAACAGATATTAAAAGCAGGCAATGCTAAGCAGTGGCAGCATTTCAGAAAATGGAACAGTATCATGTAATGTCTGCTCCCCTCCCCCTCCCCCAAAGCATTTACTGCCAGTATTTACCACTTCTGCAGTGTAGGCGGAGGGTGGGGGTGGGGGGGGGGGGGGTTAGGGGTCCTAGAGCTTGATTATTTATGGTCTCATGGCTAGTGCTGTCACCATGGACTGTAAGTTAGGATTTTAAGACATCTCCCTCCCCCCCCCCCCCCCCCAAAAAAAAATGCCCCAATCTTACAGGTAATTTGAAGCCAGCGCTCCTACATGACAGCCCTGCGTTATTTCTCAACCACCGGCCAGCTGCTCCTCTTGTTTAATTGTTAAAAAGAGAACACTGAAATGTTATGTGGAAACTTCTGTAGTGAATACGGCAGTGAATCTTGAAATGTTAAATCTTCTTTTTTCTGTGCCAAACATTTCATCATACATCTCTTGGTCATTCCAGAGATAATATAATATTCTTACTGTAATCTATAACAGACAAATGATATTAATCCAGTCGCTGTGTGGGTTCACAAGCCCTACTGTGGGGGAAAAGAGAAATGGTCCATTGCACCTTTAACAGGGCATGTTGTAAGAGTTGACTAATCAGGGATGTTCCCTTCGAAGACGGAGTGCATCTGGCTGGGAAGCAGGGATTCAAGAGTCTGCGTATTTATAAGTCAGATCTGTAAAATGGATGCACATGCTAAACTCCAGTTCTGGATTAATACCAAAGTCCAGGGGTGGATGAACAACCAGAACTTTCTGTTCACAGCCAGTGAACGCTAAAAAGAAGAAGAAGAAAGACTTCATAAAATGAAAAAAAAAACTGACCTTGATCTGGCTTCTTTAGTAGTTATAACCGGCAACACACTGATTGAGTGAAAGGATTTCTGGGATAAATGATCTCCATTGCTATTGGATGCCGAGTCAGTTTTGTTGGAACTGCTGCCGGAGTGCCCCATCATTGATCTGGGGTGCACGTCAGGGTCTATTTTGTACATGGTTCTCAAACTTTTTGAGGAGAGTTCTTCTGGTAAAGGAGGTGGATATGATCTAGGGCTAATTGGGTCAAGGCGAGGTACTCTTGGAGGTGATGAAATTGAATGCACTTTAACAGGAGATTCTAATTTATTCAAAGGCTGAGTAAGTTGAATGCCAGTGTTTGAGTCTGACAGAAGAAGATCATTGAGCATGAGTAAGGCATCATCTGCCTTATCGTGGGTAGAAGAAGCTTCATCAGAACCTCCTGCCTTGGGTGATAAATGTGAAGAGCTCAGGTGAGCATTGCTGAGACCCACAGAAATGCTAGAATTCGAGGGTGAGGAAGCTTTCTTAACAAGGCTTCTGGATGTGTAGTTGCCTCGTGGTGAATTCCCAGCTTCATGAGGTATGTTCTGGATGGTTTCTTGGAAAACAAACTCATCAATATCTGCAGAAGATGCTTTTGAAGCTTTTTTACCATTGTTACTATTAGTGTTATGACTGCCAGAATGGACAGAAGTGTGGTCTACTGGTGGCTTTCCTATGTCGTTCTTTGTTTCCTGGCTAAGACTTTCGATTCTAGTATTGCTTGATCTCCTTCTAAACCTTGCCTTGTTTACTGACTGTTCTGACCCTTGAAAAGAGGTTGATTTCTCTTTGTGGACATGCACAGTATCAGTAATGTTAATCGCGTCTGCTGAATGTTTAATTTCCTCAACGTTTTCTGTCTCCATTGCCTTAATCACATGATTAATTATGTTACTCTTCTCCTTCTTCTGCTCAACCTCAGGCTCATCTCCTGATGACCCAGGCTCTCTAAACCTTTTCTCTCCTTTTCCAACAAGAAGTAAACCTCTTGGAGTTCGGGGAGTCGATCTTGGAGTTCGGGGAGTCGCTGGTGGCCTAGGTATAAAGCTACTCTGGCTAACAGTTGATCCAACAGAATCTAACATTGATCCAACAGAACCTAACTTAGATTCAACAGAATCTAACTGCCCACTGTTCATGTTAATATGTTTTATGATCTTAACTGTTGCATTATCTGCAATTTCCCTTTTGTTTTTTCCATCACTATCTTTAGCAGGTTCACGGATCCCCTGTGTTTTATCACTAACATTTTCAGCTAATTCCAAAGATTGTCTTCGCCCACGAGGCAGAGGTCTTGGTCTGTTTGAAAGCCCCAAATCTTGGAGATGATCTTTAGTTGAAAAGCTCCTTCCATCCTTGTCAAGCAACTCTTTGTCTCCATCTGAATCCACACAAGGAATTTCTTTTGGCCTTTCATTAGGATTTTTAGAATCTTCAGAAGCCAACAAACAGTCATCTTCTTTCCTAAGGGAGCCTGTTGATGCTAACTCCTTCTGTTTCTTCTCTTTTAATTTGGTTAGAGTACTCTTCTTCTTGGAGCGAGATCTTGGATTGGTGGGATTTGTGTTTTTCTTGTGTTCATCTTCTGCCTCAACTGTCATGGCAGAGGACTGCATTTTTTGGGTGTAAATTTGGTTGCGCCAGTAGCTGTTAAATGCAAATTACACAAGTCCTTTGCCTACATGCTGCTAAATCATAGTTTTTAAAAAAGTGACTTAAAACTTGACCTGAAATTAAATTTGAACAAAATATGATTAAATATGATGTCTATTTTTATCATAAATGATATACTGTTGAATAAATAGAAATGGTAATAATATGGCAATATTTACTAAAATATTAATCTTATTCTTCAGCACACCAAGGCTTTGAGGCTCATAGCTGCAGATAGCACCTGCCTCCATTAATCTCTGCGATTGGTCTTCACTTTCAAGTGTTTGTAGGTCTGTCTGGATATTATCTCTCCACCTTTATTCTTAGCCTGCCTCTTGGTCTACTCCCATTCACCTCTTTTGTGTATGCATTTGTAATCTCTGTTATCTGCCATTTTCAGGTCAGGTCTTGGTCAGATATGATTGAACTACCATATAACAGTAGCCGGTACATGTCTTCTGTTACGCCGAATGTTGGGCGGCGTATACTAACCCAACATCCCAGATTGTGCCTACAGCTTCGGGCGGAGGAGCACACTGGGGAGGGTACTAGCCTTATCCTAGTAAGAGAAAATGCAACCTGAAAACCTTATGATATGGCAGGGCAGACCAGGTCCTTAACATTGACTGGCAGCAGGTCTAGGAGGGAAGCTCCGATAGGTAGACAGACAGAGCACTGCTTTTCTGATCCAGCAGCTTCTGCAGCATGCTTTATTCCAAACATACTGGTGTTACCTTTCCTTTGGAGTAAACAAGGCAGGTCGAAAGAGGGATCAAGATGCATGGGCAACATAGACAATGTTACTGTCTGCATTTGCTAATGCATGCTGTGAATTTTGACTAACAATCAACAAAAAGAAGACAAAGGTTATGGTGCAAGATGTTAATGATAGACCTGCAGTTTACATTGACAGTGAATGGAGACAGTTGACAATTTTACCTATCTGGGTTCCACAGTGAATAACAAACTATCACTGGATCAAGAAATTAACATCAGGATAGGTAAGACAGCAGCAACAATGAGCAGATTAACAAAAAGAGTTTGGGAGAATAGAAAGCTCACGATTAAAACTAAAACTCTTGTCTTTCAGGCTTGTGTTCTCAGCACTCTGCTTTATGGCAGTGAAACTTATTCGCACCAGGAGAGACGGCTTAATAGCTTTCACATGCGATGCCTAAGAAGAATACTTGGCATTAAGTGGCAGAATAAGATCACAAACACTGAGGTACTGGAAAGAGCAGTACTACAGCAATCTTCTCAATGCTCAGTCTACGAAGGCTCAGATGTCTGGGTCATACCTGGACAATGGAGGATGGCAGAGTCCCTAAGGACATCTCCTATGGTGAATTAAAGACGGGTAGAATATTTCACAGCAGCTTGGTCTGAAAATTCATAAAGGAAAGACAAAGATAATGAGAATAAATCAGGCAAATAGTAATGTGATTTCTCTTAATGGCACTCCACTGCCAGACGTGGAGTCGTACACCTATTTAGGCAGTAATGTAGATAAAGATGGAGGAATTGATAAAGATATTAAAACAAGAATACAAAAGGCAAGAGAAGCTTTCATAGCATTAGGGGATTTGTGGAGGTCAAAAAAAATTAAAAGAAATACTAAACTAACAGTTTTTAATTCTAATGTCAAATCAGTACTTTTGTATGGGGTGGAAACATGGAGAACAACTAAGGCAATTACTAATAAATTATAGACATTCATTAACTGGTGCCTGCGCAGAATAGAGGGAATTAAATGGTATGATAAAATAACTAATGTAGAGCTTTGGGAGAGACCTAAACAGGCTCCAGTGGACCAAGAGGTGAGGAAAAGACGCTGGCGTTGGATAGGACACACACTGAGAAAACAGGAAAACAGCATAACTAGAATGTCTTTGCATTGGAACCCACAGGAATAAAGGAAGGCCAAAAAACACATGGAGAAGAGAGCTGGAGAATGAATTTAGAAAGATGGGGAGGACATGGGGAGAGCTCTATGTAATGGCGAAGGATAGGATGACTTGGCGTTAGTTGGTTGAGGGCCTATGCTCCATTGGGGGATAGAAAGGCAGAAGAAGAAGAAAGAATATTTCAAGGCTGACCTCTACTACAATATAAAGATGTGTGCAAGTGAGACGTGTATGATACAGGTATTGAGATGGACTTGTGGGAACAAAATGCCATGGACCGTGTTGTGTCAAGGGGGCACATCAGGAAGGGATTTAGAATGAAAGGAAGAAATGATTGCAGAAAGATGACAGCTGAACGTCTGAGAAGAGACAGAGTAAACACAAATGTTGACAACAGCGGCTCTGAAATCCCATGCTGTAACTGTGGAAGACTTTTCTTAACCTTGCTAGTCACATTTGCCATAGCCATGGGTTGTGAGTCCCATGCCTCCTCAAAGCACAATATAACATTATCATCGTGAAAGATGGAAGGGTGCCAATCAAAAATATCTGCCATTCTCTAAATATGCCCCAACAATCCTAGTCTATTAGCCCTCCTTATGCCAGTAATTAGCGGGGAATTAAACAGGCTATGAATTTCACTGTTGCATTTCACTCTACATTCTCTGCTGGTTGCATCTTTGCTTCGTCCAAAAATCTGTCATAAGACCCTGTTTTCAAAAATTCCTAATAAGGCTTTACCTTTTTTACCTACATCAGGTTTCAGAGCTATACAGCACTATAACAGCCAACAGAACTAAAATAATAATCAATAACAAAAAAAAAAAAAAAAAGATTAAAAAGTAGATTTCAAAGATGCTCTAAACAACTGAAAGAAAGACAACTACAAGCACAGTAGAAAAGTGAACACTTCTGTCACTTTGTCTGCTGTTTTAGTCTCTTTTTCTGTATATTCATTGGCTGCAAACTCCGATGGAAAGTTCTTGTTGTTTGTCCACTTCTGGACTTCAGTCTTGTCCCATAACTGAACATAAATCGTCATAGCCAAACAAAACACCCTAGCTATAAAATGCATGCAACGATATTTATTCTCGGTTGTTTCTGAGGAAAAGAGTTGTAACTTCACATCAAAATCCTCACATTTTCTCAGTTGCCGAGGTAAACAGGAATGCAACAACGCTTCAGTGCGCATGTCTTTTACCAAAATATGTTTCATTTCCTTTTTACAAATTGCTGCATGTAGTAAAGAAATTTGTAAAATTTACTGCAAATTACACTAAATTGATTGCATACTGCCTTTAATTTCTCACAATAAGCCAAATTATCAAAGATTTTGTAAATATTTTTGGTAATGTCGATAACTGTAATGTCACAGATTGTCGTAATGTTTCTTACGTGTTTAATGTACAAACCGTTTTGAAATCTTATATTTAGATTAACAATTATGCCTTTATATAAAAACAAAACAGTTTATTATATAATAAAAAGACGTATAATATATTTATATATGATAATTTAAAACTAATCTGTGCTAAAATAAAGCTAAAATGGATAATTTGTTAATAAAATAAAGTTTAACGTGCAATGATGACGACTGAAAGAAGAGCGGAAGTGCACAGTTGAACGTCCCTGCCAACAGCGTCCTTAGTTTTTGTGTGTTCGTTTTGTGTCGGGACCCACTCGACTTTCGCTGGATCGGGATCCTTTCCGATAAGAGAAGCAGTCAGAGTGAAAACGTCGTATATTGCGGTAGTATGACACATTCTAATCGCAACTGGAAGGCAGAGTATCACAGGAAACCTGGACAGCCATGTCAAAGTCATGTATAAAGTTGAAGACAGTGTTTGTGGCGGATACAGGTCCTTTCGAGATATCGCAATCTTAGAGCGACTTCTGGAAGCTGATGATGAATTTATTGCTAACGAGTTGTTGAATAAAGAAATCCGAGCAGGTCGCTGGCAGAAAAATGGTTTTCCTGATTCTAATATTGACGGTACGAATTGTAATGTGAGCGACATTAATAATAGAGGAAGGAATAATAGTGGACATTTGCAGAAATGTAGAGAAGTTCGCGCAATCCAACTTTGCGGCTGGCATTCTGATCCTAATGTTGTCTACAGAAAGACAGAAAATGGTGGAATGTCTAAATCAAAGCTGGCAGCTGGGTCTTTGGGTAAGGATGCACCCCTTCCTCGTGATTCAAAAAGCAAAACATTTTCTTCCGAAGACTTTGTTTTTCAGCATTACCTTGATACCAGTCATTATATTGAACAGTATAGACAAAAACACAGGTGTTCAGACAAAATCACATTGTCGCCGGCCAGAAGCGACTTATCTGACTTACGAAAACCACAACAAAATCCTTATTTTTCACCAATGACCATTTTTTCTCAAACCATTTACCAGCAGGAAGCATCGATGCCGTCATCTCAGCTCGAAGATTTGTTGGTGCAGAACCAAACACAAAACAAATCATCACAGGCTACTACAAACCAGCTAGCAAATAAACGGGAGCAACTGCGTCAAAAGCTTCAGATGCTGAAAAACTTCAAGAAAACATTTTCTCCCCCCATAGGCACATATGATACAAGCAAGGTCAAGGACATTCCTGAATCAGTCCCCAGCAGTAGCCATTTAGAAAGAACGTGTTCGATGAAAGAGATGGTTTTGATTCCAGCCATCATCGATACTCCTTTTTCGAAAGCCACAGCTGGCTTGTTGAGAGTGCAGACGTTAAATATTGATTCCCTTCCTAACAAAAATGCCAGACTTCTAAAACCAGGGTAAGTTTCTTTTTTTCTTGTATTTTACACCAGCTTTTTTTTTCTGGTTGTATGCAGAGATGAGATGAATGTTACGAATAACTTGGATATCCAGAGTAACCAACAACAATTGCTTGAAAGAAGCTAATGAAAATAGATCCCTATATACAACAATAAGAAAGAGACAAACACTGTTCTTTGGCCACAAAATGAGAAGATATTCATTAGAAAACATTGTGACAACTGGACAGATCAGTGGAAAAAGGGATAGAGGCAGACCAAGAGAGACGATGATGGATGGGCTGAAACGATGGCATGGAGGGATATCATCAAGAGAGCTGTTGGCAGGGTACATGATGATGATGCAGTAGTACACAGTACTAGCTATTTTTTTTCACTTCATAATTTTCTCAATGCTACTGTAATAGACACTTTATGATCATGATTGCAGATTCACAGTTGTCACTTAGTACTCACAAACGTCTTACTTATCTTAGAGCATTCACTACACCAGCCTGGTCCATGGCTCATCCACCATCAACAATTGCTTTACTGGCAAGCCTATAAGCCTGCTCATTAACTTGTACACACACATGCTTTGCTATGAGAAAGAAATGGTTCTAATCACGTTAAGTGCCGCACAGTGAGAGAGACTTTCCTTGCCATTAATGCCTTGATCTGGTGTAGGGGCTGTACTATGTCATAGGGGTGCATCCCAGGTCGCACACGACTGTACACAGCATATAATAGAGGCTGCATACTGTTGTGGGACATAGGCTGAAGCTGTGGAGTAGGGGGGTTGGGGTTAGGTCCAGTTGTACATGTTTTAGGACTGTTAAAAGTGGTCACAGCATAGAAGACACGATATTGCCAGCTGCTGACAACAAGGAGTGAAATACGACTCTCTACGAATGAAACCCCTGCGACATAGTACAGGTCCTACACCAGATCGAGGCATTAGTGGAAAGGGAGGTCACTCTCATTATGTGGCTCTTATCACGTCATGTACCAATGAAACTGGTCTTTGTAAGCCGTGACTGCCTCAGAGACACCAATCACTGTTGTCTGTTTTTTCCTGAGCTGTATTTTGCTGAGTCACAGAGAAAGCATTGAGGTTTTCAACAATGGATCAACATCGTGGCACATGGGTAGTAACCCATAAGTGCTCCATTCTTCTTATAACTCAAGTCTGGGTCTGAAGAAGCTCAGCACAGTGCACAGACTCTTTAGCATCGGCGAGGATCCTGAAATACTTTGTGTAGATTTTTAACTCCAAATTTTGCCCAGGCAGCACCGTTGGGCTACTCTTTTCAATTTTCAACTGCCAAGGGATTTTTTTATGTGCGCAACAATACACACATGAATCTGATCTCACTACCCAAAGACCAGGGGGAATTACTAGAAGTCCAAGTCCATGTGAAAAATCCCCAGCCCTTACTGGGGATTGAACTCGGAACCTCTAGCACTTGAGGTGGACACCACAGAGAAAGCATGACTGAGTGAAGGTCAGTGTCTCCAGCCATGTTATTGCTTTGGTCACTGCCATAATCTCCTTTGTTCTGGCATGAGGTGAGACATGATTTGATTGCAAAAACTATACTTCAAAGAACATTGGGGAAGTGGACAAAGAAAAAAGCGCCAAAGATTAAACTAGGATGACAACGTCATGGAATGGAACAGGACTCAATTATTATACACTTTTTCAACATGAGAAAGGTGGCAAGTTTTGTTTGCTAGTGCTTCCATCAAAACATTTCCTAACCCTAAAGGTTCAGTCAGATGTTACTCAACCCTAAAGGGTCAGTCAGATGTTACTCAACCCTAAAGGGTCAATCAGATGTTACTCAACCCTAAAGGGTCAATCAGATGTTACTCAACCCTAAAGGGTCAATCAGATGTTACTCAACCCTAAAGGGTCAATCAGATGTTACTCAACCCTAAAGGGTCAATCAGATGTTACTCAACCCTAAAGGGTCAATCAGATGTTACTCAACCCTAAAGGGTCAGTCAGATGTTACTCAACTCTAAAGGGTCAATCAGATGTTACTCAACCCTAAAGGGTCAATCAGATGTTACTCAACTCTAAAGGGTCAATCAGATGTTACTCAACCCTAAAGGGTCAATCAGATGTTACTCAACCCTAAAGGGTCAATCAGATGTTACTCACCCCTAAAGGGGCGATCAGATGTTACTCACCCCTAAAGGGTTGATAAGATGTTACTCAACCCTAAAGGGTCGATCAGATGTTACTCAACCCTAAAGGGTCAATCAGATGTTACTCAACCCTAAAGGGTCAATCAGATGTTACTCAACCCTAAAGGGTCAATCAGATGTTACTCAACCCTAAAGGGTCAATCAGATGTTACTCAACCCTAAAGGGTCAATCGGATGTTACTCAACCCTAAAGGGTCAATCAGATGTTACTCAACCCTAAAGGGTCAATCGGATGTTACTCAACCCTAAAGGTCAATCAGATGTTACTCAACCCTAAAGGGTCAATCGGATGTTACTCAGCCCTAAAGGGTCAATCAGATGTTACTCAACCCTAAAGGGTCAATCAGATGTTACTCAACCTTAAAAGGTCAATCAGATGTTACTCAACCCTAAAGGGTCAATCAGATGTTACTCAACCCTAAAGGGTCGATCAGATGTTACTCAACCCTAAAGGGTCAATCAGATGTTATGTTATGGGTACCCTAGTCAGGCTACTTACAGTGAAGACAACTGCACCGCTTGATGGTGAACTGATATATGACAAGCTAGATATTGTGTTGGCCCTTTGGGAGTGAGTGAACAGTGAGGAGGCACAGACAGATCATTATGGTATGAGGAGAATGGCACTGTGATGAGTTACCAGGAGATCTGGCAGATGCTCAAAACTCAGGGGAAGGGCGAGACAGATTTACAATCAGACAGTTACTGGTACCCTCGGAATTGGAACTCTTCACTTGCTGTTGAAGATGGGGGACGGAGCCCTTATAGGAATGTCCAGAGTGCCGTGATGACGCTTCTTAATTCAACATTCAATTCAAGGCACAAGCACCAGTGTCTCTTTCTTCAGATCTCCCTCTAACTTAAGTGTAAAAGTCTGTGAGCCTCTCATATGTGGAACCGTGGCGCGGTGATTTATGTCACAGGCGTGAGGGGAAGTTAAGTCCAACATGATGTGTATAAGGAGATACTCCGTACGTCACTCGGGCGCCAGTCCTTCACTGTTCTGGTTTTACGGAACCTCACGCAAGACCCCTGCAGCACGTCCTTGTCGTGCGCCACGGATAATGTCTCAAATGAGCATTAACAGAGCCGTCAGGGGATCTCGGAGCTTGGCGGCCCCCAGAGGTGATGTGTCCATGTGGCTCTCATCAGCCCGCCCCCAAACACTTGGGTGAAAAAGGTTATCAAACTCATTAGGAACATGAGTATGCTTGCCAAACGTACAGCTAAAATCACAACCCTTGGTTAAAAGTTTGCGGAGGGAAGAGAACACTGTTCACTGTACATCCTCTGTTAACCCTCAGTGTCGTCGTCACCGCACTGAGGTACACCACAACAGCAACCATCCATAGGCCGGCCATCCATGTGCATCCTCGGTTAACCCTCAGTGTCGTCGTCACCGCGCTGAGGTACACCACAACAGCAACCATCCATAGGCTGGCCATCCATGTACATCCTCGGTTAACCCTCAGTGTCGTCGTCACCGCGCTGAGGTATACCACAACAGCAACAGCCCATTGGCTGGCTAAGCTAAATGTCCGACAAAACTAGATCCTACGGCACACGAATAAGCTCAAAATCTGACCATCACAATTTGTATTGAACGGAAAAAGACCAAATGTCCACACCCAAAGACCCCACTCGCCCGAGTGTTGGGACCAAACTGACAACGATATGCCTGACGCAGGATGTAAAATTCTGTCGGGCTACTGGCTCGTCAAAGAAATCTAACGTGCGAAGAAAAAAGAATGTACCTATTCGGGTGGTCACAAAAGTCCAAAACCCACGGGCTGCTCCCCGCTGACTTCCAGAGGGCGCAGTCCTTGTCGAGCGGGACGTGAGGTTAAGCAGGCATGTGCAGTACGTGACGATTCCTTGGGTGAGCCCAGAACCAGAGCGCCATGTGCCGGCTCTGCATACATTGAAGCCTCCTTGGATGGCGGGGAATGCCAATGATCTGCCCCTGCCTTCCCTTGAGGGCTAACCGTTCCACAGGGGGCTGCCCCAAAAGGGGTACTCCGGGGGCAAAACCTGCGGAGAAGGAGACAAAGTAGACACCAAACAAAACAATGGCCACAGTCATCCAAGAAATAGGCCTGACGTCTTCCTTCGAAGTCGGAGTACAGCTGCCCATGAGGCAGGGAACAGTAAAACGGTTTTACACGCAAAAATCAGGTCCAGGTGAAAGCCAAAAGTCCAAGCGGACGATTAACCTTTACCTTCCGCCGAAATTCACAGCCGGTGAACGATAAAAAAAAAAATATGGGGAACCACAGGCCAATCTACGTAAAGGACAGCATCACCCTCATAAAAAATTCTTATAAATCAAATTTAAACTTATTTAAACTTCTGTATGACAAGAATTACAAACACAGAGCCTAAGTTATGAGAAAAACGTGAATAAACTTTTATTAGTGTGACACACAGAGAAAGATTTTCGGTGACAAACTAAAAGTGATGCGTAGAAGAGAAATAGAGACAGGTGGACAAAAAAAAGATAGTGGAAGACATGAAAGTGAGCTGTGTGCTGTAACAAAGAACAGGGTCATTAGCTGAGGGCCTCTGGGATCCACTGGGATAGAGAGCAGAAGGAGAAGAGCAAGAAGTTACACATAAGTTTCATCATTATCATGTCACATGCCGGTAAGCCTAGGCTGTCATATCTCGCCATCTCACACAGTCATCAGAATCACGGATCATTTCAGTGTTTTGGTTTTGGTTTTTGTCTCATCCCATCCATCTGGTCAGACAAGGCAGGTATTTATCTCTTTGCCTTCCTCTTGCTCTCTTTCCATCAATCTTGCCCGTTGTTGCCGTGTTCTCGAGTCCATTTCTTCTTGTGAATGTATAAAAAACATTGACTGTGTCTAACTGTTCATCTGTCTCGATGAAGACAGCTTTGTTTGTTTTTCAAGTTACACAGACTATGTTTATTCCTCACAGGCCCGTACTGGATACAGTTACTGGGAATAACTTGTTGGGTCACAGGGTTGGGCTTGGGGCCACAAACCAGATGAGGATGTTGGATGCTACTGCATTCAGACTTGGAAGTGGAAATGAGAAACAGGTTAGTGTGAATCACATGTTCAACAGTTATCAGGAAATGTGATGTTGTTGGTCACAGACTCTGATAATCTGTTTGCCTGTTTGTTGTTGTTCACATGGGGGCCAGTTTGTTGTTGTTCACATGGGAGCCAGTTTGTTGTTGTTCACATGGGAGCCAGTTTGTTGTTGTTCACATGGGAGCCAGTTTGTTGTTGTTCACATGGGGGCCAGTTTGTTGTTGTTCACATGGGAGCCAGTTTGTTGTTGTTCACATGGGGGCCAGTTTGTTGTTGTTCACATGGGAGCCAGTTTGTTGTTGTTCACATGGGGGCCAGTTTGTTGTTCTTCACATGGGGGCCAGTTTGTTGTTGTTCACATGGGGGCCAGTTTGTTGTTGTTCACATGGGGGGCCAGTTTGTTGTTGTTCACATGGGAGCCAGTTTGTTGTTGTTCACATGGGGGCCAGTTTGTTGTTGTTCACATGGGAGCCAGTTTGTTGTTGTTCACATGGGGGCCAGTTTGTTGTTGTTCACATGGGGGCCAGTTTGTTGTTCTTCACATGGGGGGCCAGTTTGTTGTTCTTCACATGGGGGCCAGTTTGTTGTTGTTCACATGGGGGGGCCAGTTTGTTGTTTGTTCACATGGGAGCCAGTTTGTTGTTGTTCACATGGGAGCCAGTTTGTTGTTGTTCACATGGGGGGCCAGTTTGTTGTTCTTCACATGGGGGCCAGTTTGTTGTTGTTCACATGGGAGCCAGTTTGTTGTTGTTCACATGGGAGCCAGTTTGTTGTTCTTCACATGGGGGCCAGTTTGTTGTTGTTCACATGGGGGGCCAGTTTGTTGTTGTTCACATGGGGGGCCAGTTTGTTGTTGTTCACATGGGAGCCAGTTTGTTGTTGTTCACATGGGAGCCAGTTTGTTGTTCTTCACATGGGGGCCAGTTTGTTGTTGTTCACATGGGGGCCAGTTTGTTGTTGTTCACATGGGGGGCCAGTTTGTTGTTGTTCACATGGGGGCCAGTTTGTTGTTGTTCACATGGGGGCCAGTTTGTTGTTCTTCACATGGGGAGCCAGTTTGTTGTTGTTCACATGGGGGGCCAGTTTGTTGTTGTTCACATGGGAGCCAGTTTGTTGTTGTTCACATGGGAGCCAGTTTGTTGTTCTTCACATGGGAGCCAGTTTGTTGTTGTTCACATGGGGGCCAGTTTGTTGTTGTTCACATGGGGGGCCAGTTTGTTGTTGTTCACATGGGGGCCAGTTTGTTGTTGTTCACATGGGAGCCAGTTTGTTGTTGTTCACATGGGGGCCAGTTTGTTGTTGTTCACATGGGGGCTGTGTGGTCTTGAGACATGGTGTCCGCCTCAAGTGCTAGAGGTTCCGGGTTCAGTCTCCGGTAAGGGTTGGGATTTTTTCACTTGGACTTGGACTTCTAGTAATTCCCCATGGTCTCTGGGTAGTGAGATCGGACACCCATGTGCATTGTTGCGCACGTAAAAAATCCCTTGGCAGTTGGAAATCAAAAAGAGTAGCCTAACAGTGCTGCCCGGGCAAAATTTGGAGTTAAAAATTAAAATATTTCAAGATACCCGCCTGTGCTACAGAGCCTGTGCACTGTGCTGAGCTTCTTCGGTCTCAGACTTGAGTTAGAAGAAAAGCGGAGCACTTATGGGTTACTACACGTGTGCCACGATGTTGATCTGTTGTTCAAAACCTCAAGACCCCTGTTGTTCACATATTTTGGTAAATCTAGTCCATTTTTTTCTATTACTCACATGAAAGCCACTTTTGAGGCATCAAAATATCAAGGTAAACAAGCCCAAAAAAAAAAAGCAGCAAATAATTGCGCTAATTGAACCAACTTTATACATTCAGTGCCAGGCATGGATGGTCTTAGAAAAACATGAACACAAAAATCGCAGCACAGAGATGAGATGTATAAGAAATGCGGTGGGAAAAACAAGATGAAGCAAAGTCACCAATGAAAAACTAAGAACTATAGTAGGCACAGCACTGGCAAATGATTTCATAGAACATCAAAGAATCAAATGGTTTGGCCATTTGATCAGAATGGAACAAAAAGCCAATAGCTGGAGCAAGATACATGAGAGCAGCAGGCTACAAGGCAACAGGTGGACCAAGAAAGAGATGGGTGGATGGGGTAAAAAGGACACTACAGAAACACAATAGGACATTAACACAAACTATGCAACTAGCAAAAGACAGGACAATACATCTAACAAATCTCTGCAAGACTTTACAGCAGAAGCGGTAGGACAAAAGAAGAAGGAAGAAGACCTACATAAATTCAGCTGTAATAGCCCAGGGAATAGCATATCTGCCTGGTGGTCAAAGGTTCAGATCTCCTTGAAAGTTGATTTTTGAAAGTGGTCTAGGCCCCCCAGCTTTACAACTGGTGTTGCATTTTTAGTTAAAGAATTTGTATTTCTCTATTCTTCTTCTCCCTTGTGTTTTTTGTGTTTGGGTATTTTTCAAAGTTTTTCTCTCGTTTTCTGTTGCTTGTGTTGAAACTTTTGTTTCACAGGAAAAAGTAGGTGACCCTTTTTTTGTGCAGTGAAGCTTGTTGGGTATGCCAGTCATTCATTCAGTAGCATGTCCTTTGCAGAACCTTGCTCTCATAACAACTCTCCAGAAAACTTCTTGATCACATATGGCCTAACAGCTGAATAGGGTTTCCGGGTGGTCTCCAAGGGTGATCCTCATCCGCATGGTGGCACTTTGTGTCCCTGGGTGTTTATTACTTGTGCGATGTCCTGGTGGAGTACCATTTCCTACCTACCTAAACGTAAGATGCGCCAGTTGTACGTCTTTCTTTACTACTCCTTGGAGCTTCTGATGCTAAATCCCCTGAGACTGAAAGAGTTAAGGGGCATTGAGTTCATTCTCCTCCCACCACACCTTTCCTCCTCCCACTCCTACTTCCCCTCCTCCCAGAGGGGGCCCTGGAACCCAGACCAGAATAACTTTATTATAACTCAAGGCACAAGCACCAGAATGTCGGGTTATGTAATCGCACTCAACAAATTCGTCAGAATAAAACTGCGGCCTTCATTAGTCAAAACTGCTCAATTCTAAGATGTAAACTATTAAAATTTGCCAAACTGGTATAATTTTAGTGCAGACCTTGTTGCTATGTCAGTTGTAATATTTCTGTTCAGATTATATAGATCAGCTAGAAATTCAATAAATGCAACCATTAATAAATCAATATGGTCGCCATTAACACACGGTCAATCAAAGAAGGGGGAAGTATGCCAAGTAGGATTTCTTGTTAGTTACGTCAACTAGGGTTGTTTTGTTTTGATTTGGTTTTCACGGGTCAGTAATTTCAGTAATTCTGTGGTGGTGTTGTGATAAGTACGCTTCCCGGTCATAACAGCTGTATAAATTCAGACCCAGGAGAGTTGAGACCCAGGACAGTCCAGATTTTTATGATTGACCAGTATGACTCTGTGCGGTCTTTCTTTATCAGTTGAGATGTGAAAGATAATTCTCAGGAGCTATATATATTCTATCCTGATATCATCAGTCAGCAAGTCCTTTACAGAACGTCGCTCTCTTCATGGCACGCCTGAAAGTATCCCTTTTCCTAGTCAGCTCTCCGGCCCCATGTGCTTTCAATGCCAGTGCATCCTCAACGTCTTGTATCCATCTTCGCGGTGGTCGGCCCCTGCCTCACCTTCCACAAACTGCACCTTCCATCGCCGTCTTTTCCAAGCCACCATGCCGCTTGATATGGCCAAAATCCTGATATACAGAAGTAAATTAAAGACAGTTGGCCAATAAGTGAAAAATTATGTGAAAGTGGTGGAGATGTGGCTTTTAATGGCGAATGATGAGAACACCCTGAACAGATAAAAAGGGTAATGAGTATGCCTTGGAAGAAACTGACTCATGAAGAGAACTGATTGTCCACATCAGAAGGAAACAATCTACATTTTGTGGTCATGTCTTTAGAAGGAGGTATGTGGAATACATTTTATGACGACGGGAAAGCTGGAGGTGAAATAGGCAGAGAGAGACCAAGAGAGTTAATGCTGGACAGTTTGACATCATGGCTTCATCCGTGTCAGAAATGATTGAAAGTGTTTGCAGGTCTGCCTGTATACCTCCACAATCTACTTGCTGTGCCTCATGGTCTACGACCATATAGCTCCCTTGTGTATACAGTTTTAACCTCTCTGTCATCTGGCATTCTCACAATATACCCCAGCCATTTCAGTCTATTAGCTCTCATGATGCCAGTGATAATAGGTAACTTAGTCAGATTATGAATTTCATTGTTACTTCTCACAGCTGTTTGCATCTTTGATGGATCCAAAGATTTATCTTAAGACTCTGTTTTCTAAAATGTGTTATAAGACTTCATCTCTTTTAGTTGTGCTTCATATTTTAGAGCCGAACAAAACAACTGGTCTTATCATGTTGTACATGACAACTAGTTAAGGATTTGCTGAAATTGGATGTGTTGTGCCAAAAGGTGCAGCTGTCCTAGCCTAACTGTAAACCAAATGCAATGTTCCAACCACCCTTTTAAAAGTGAATTAAAAATTTAAAAAAAATTCAAAAATTCAAAAAATAATTTAAAAAAGAAGAAGAAGAAGAAGAATCTGTTACTTAAAAAATTTCAAAATGCCTTTTATTTTTGTCTTGTCTCTTGTCTCCTTGTTGCTGTTACACAATCTGTCTTTCTTTGTCATTGGTTTTGCACCTGTTGCCCCAATGAAATAAAAAGTACAGGAGTCAGGAACTCCTGTCCACACCATAGTTCATTTTGAACATATGGTGCTAACCATGTATAATGACAGTTTTCAGTTTTGTGTAAAATTATTCTTCACTGAATTAACTGCGTACTCTGGGTGTCCAGTTGGTGCAGCGAGTCAAGGAAGCCATGCTGAAGCCACCTGTCTTTACATCAACCAGAACAGAATGGGAGTTGTTAGCCTAAAAACACTTTACACACTAAGGAGGAGTTAAGAGCACTTATAGTCATGTTGGATGAAGA